CTCCACCGCCGCCGCCGCCGCCTCCGTTGTTACCACCCCCTCCGCCGCCGCCACCACCTCCGCCTCCGCCTCCGCCCCCGTTCTGGTTCCCGGAGTTCATGTTGCCACCGTTAATGTTGCCACCGTTCATGTTACCTCCGTTCATGTTCTGACCGTTGTTGTTGCCTCCTCCATTCATATTACCGCCGTTGTTTCCGCCGTTCATGTTGCCGCCATTGTTGTTGCCTCCGCCGCCGTTGTTGGAGTTGGTCGAGTTCTGCCTCCATCCCCAGCCACCTCCGCCGTGGTGCTGGCCACCTCCGTCCTTGTCGTCCCAGTTTTGGCGGTGGTCGCCGGGCTGTTCGGCACCGGCGTTCTGCCTGGCACGGAGCTCTTGGAACGTGACATCGCGCTTGCCCCCGGGGGCATTGAGGGGGATGCTCACCGCGCCATTCGGCAGTCGACGGGCGTGGATGCGGGCACTGCCATGGCCGAGCGGGATGGAGACGCCGGACCTCTCCTCGTGCGAATCGTTTGATAGTGCCGGGACGGCCAGGAAGGCCAGAACGGCGGCGAGGGTTCTCACTGGGCGTCAGTTACTCGCGCCTCGTTGAGTGACATGTTTGCAAGAGATGAAGTGCAAGGGATACGTACTTCTTCCAAGTGGTTCAGAGAGCGCGAGCTGGGTTCGAAACGGTGGACACTGCCTTACGAGCGCGAGTTATATATCTTGAGGTTGTCGTGGACCAGCCTCCGTTCGTAATGCCTCACTGGGGAGGTGGTGATGATGAGCGCTGGTGCTGCGCCACGCGTTGTGCGTCTGTAGGCCGGCCGGGCGGGCCTGACCGAAGCCGAATAGCGTTGTCTGGAGTCTGCCTCTGTTGCTTGCTTGTAGTGAGGCTGCAGAATCAGCAGGCAGTGAGTGAGTGCTCCGCCGCAGCTCGTCTGGTTGGTTGGATACGCTCTTGGAGACTGGAATCAGTGGCCGACCGATCAGGCCCGGGCTGGGCTGGATGGGCTTGGCACAGTCATGACGGCAGTGTCGTCAGTAGTCGTCGGCAGCGACGACACGGTCAGTGTACGGCCACGGCCATCGTGCACTGGGTGCAAATCGTGTGGGTTGCGTAAGATGCCAGCCAGCTCGAGCCGCACCCAGCGGCATCTGCGGCAGCGGCACGGGCTACAGTGGGAGCGCTAGTGATCATTCCGGTGAAGCTTCCGTAGTACGAGGGGTGATGAAGTGGCTGCGCGCAACCTGCCATCAGTGCAGTGATGAGGAGAGTGGAAATAGAATGGAGTGTGGAGGCGTTTCTGCGAGTTCTCACCCAGCCTGCAACCTGTCGATAGCAGGTAGTCATGACTGAACTCTGATGTCCATCTCGGGCCTGTCGGGAGCGGCGGGACGAGCTAAGATAAAGCTCACTTATGTAACCAGCCTATCTTCTCCATTGCTCACCTCCACTGTCGTGCGGGCAGAGTTGGCGGGCATCAGATGGCAAGAAGGCCAGCACGAATGGTGCGTAACTGGAAACGGGTGCATGGGCGGCGGCCGGTGGCGAGTCTTCCGGAGTATGGTTACACACCAACGGCGATAGAGTTCAGTGGCACCGTCGTCATCGCGTTTCAGATGCTGCATGACGCGCAGCAAACTCCATGGTACGCATTGTGCGCTTGAAGTTTGCTAGGAGGTGCAGTAACGTGCTGCTTGCGCAAGAAGAGAAGATTTGGAATGCAGAAGTATCAGAAATCCGAATCCTCCCCTGCTTCCACTGAACGTTATCAGCTTGTTTGCAGGCTGGAGAGCTGGGGAAGGAGCACGATGTGGCGTGCTGCCGTGCTGAGAGTACTGAGAGCGTCGCAGGTCTCCTTGTTAAGCATCTTTCCGAGCTTGCGTGAGCTGCCGCCGTTCCCGCCAGCCTCTCTTGATGGCTGCATCCGCAGATCAAACACCTTCTCGAAGCCGGTCACTCACCAATAGTCCTCGTTTCGAGCAAAGCCCAGGCCACTAACAACAGACTTGAATGACACTCAGCGCTGAATGACACACAAGCACACCCGCAGATCGGATCAAACGCACGTGGCCGCCAAGGCAAGGCGAGCGTCAAGACGAGAAAGCCTTAGAGACGACCTCACGACGAGCGGGGCAACAATGGTCGTCAACAGTTCAGTCGGAGCCGGCATGTTTCCAAGGCGTGGCCGCACATGATCTCCAGCTGGGCTTGGCGCCGCCCATCCTCGTTTTCCCTCACACCCGCTGTTCCAGCATGCGCAATGCTGATTAAGCATGCTTGCACAGCCCGGGCTTCTCTGGAATCAGCACGCACATCCGCCATGCGTGCAGCGTAACGACAAACGCCGGCATGGACTGGTGAGAGTGGACAACGAGGAAGGCTCGGGTTCCAGACCACGAGATTCGAGAGAAACAAAGATCACGGACAGAAATCCCGCAGTCTGGTCCCGATCCCGAGCGCAGCTGTCGTTCTGAAGTGCTGAGAGGTGTGGAATGTTGATCATCGTGCGTCGTGATTGTCTCGCAATCGTATTCGGAATGCGAGCCCCATGAGGTTGCTAGTCACTCGTGGCTGTTGGTGTCGAAAGCAGTCCTTGTGGGGGGAGATGTATCTGGGGACCCACGCGACTACGCATCGCGTGGAGAGCTCTGTACCGGCGGTTCGTTGGTGGGGCCAGACGACAGACGACGTGTTTGTCTTCTTTCGTTGTGGCCAGTTTAGGCGCTAGCAGGATGTGACCGAGGTGACCCGCTGTTGGTGGGCTCAAAGCTGCCTAGGTCCATGGCAGGCGAAAGGTACGCGCTTGAAGAACCAGTAACAGCGCTAAGCAGAGCAGATTGGCACGAGAGTCGGATGTTGAGCATGCGACTCGAAACCCGCCCGCCAACAACGACGCGCACGGCGGGAGTGTCAGTGTTGCAAGCTACTAGGTCAGTTCAAGTGGCGGTTTGTGTTGCTGCTAGCTGTTCTTCCGCTCTTCGCTTCTTTTCAATGATCGCGCGATCACAATGACGTCGCAGAGCCCCATCGATATCGATGGGCATTCCCGCGCCGCGCCAAAGAAAGGAACATGCGCTAACGCCAGCTCCGACGTATAGATCGTAAAGTGTCAAGCGAACCCGCGCTAGACACCTTAGCGGCTCCAAGAAACAAGTCACCGCCCAAATAACCAGCAAACTGCGGAGTTGATGGAAAGACCGTCGTCGCGTGCTCGTCCTTCTGCAACAGCGAAGCCCTTCATTTTGAAGAAGCGCAGCAGGCGGGCTAGTTCTGTTCTAACTCGTCAGCTGATGGATGGACTGCACAGCATCGAGAGATGCTGCGTCCCTGGCGTTGATCAGGCTCAAGGCGTTGGCGGAAGAGCAACTCGAACCAACTGATGGGATGAGTGACTCTCGAGATCACGAGCGGGGGGTGAATGCTTAGCGTTGGACATGACGTTTGCAGATGTCGATGGCTGCTTAGATCATAGTACACCTCAGAAAGGCGGTTGGTAATTTGCGCAGCCAAGCCTGAGCCGTTTGCACAGCGACGTGCGCAAGCCATGCCCTTGCCGCCAGTGCTGATCCTGCTCTCGGCGTGCTGATACGATAAGGGACCCGAACAGATCAACGGATCAACGCGTTACGCTATCGTGAGAACCGGACACCAGGTGTTGGACATCTGCGAGGCCATGTGAAGCGCTGTGATATGAATGAATGGATGGCCATCAGTCAGGTCGCGGCCCAAAATCACTCCTGGATCCCTGTCACTGAGGCTGTGCAGGCTGGTCTGGAGCGAGTGCTGGCGGTGTCTGACGAGCTCGACGCCACCGTACCGCTGCAGCTCGGTAGCTCGGCATGCTGCGATGCGGTATGCCATGTCTCTCCACCATACCACCCACCAGGGTTGCGCCTCCGCCCGTGGCGCAGGACGGTGGCGCTGCCGGCCATCTGCGAGAAGGGACGCCAAGTCGCCCAAAGCGGTGATCACATTGGACGGTGTGATGGGCGTGCCGGACGCGCCGAGCGATGCATGGTCTTGGGGAAACGGAAGTCGAGACGTTGGGTGACCGGAGTGACTCTTGGGTGAGCAGTCTGGGGCTGTCGAGGGTGGATGCGGAGCCACGTCGGAAGTGGGCATCGAACGGACCATCTGATATGCCAAGAACTGCGTGCCAGGCTGCTTGGCATTGTGATGCTGGATTAGGAGTTTCGTGCTCAACTGCCCGCTCGGCATGCCAAGCAGCGTTGCGAAGGGGAATGTGCTGGGATTGAGCTCACGGGGTCGATGTTGGCAGGAGGGTAAGTGATCAGTGCTGAGCATGTCCCAGGGTTACCGTCAGTAGCCGGCCGTTGATACCTTGAAATGCATTGAGACGTTACTTGCTGATAAACTCGTCGCACTTGTGCAGCGAATCGACCTGTTCCCTGTCAGTTGCATTGCCGCCATACAACTTACGATAAGCTGGTGGTCGTGCAGCTGCGGCAGACCGGAGACACAAATCGCGCCGATCGGTCCAGTCTCGACTCCCTGGACGTCAGCTCCGCACCGGAACCGCTGAGCTCACCTTGATCCAGATCGGGAACGCACCACCGTGACACGCATATTCGGGGAAGGCAAGGCCAGCCTGCTCCGGCTTCTTTGACTTGGACGCGAGCTCACGGCCCTTCCGGAGCGAGGAGATGCCGAACCGGCGAACGACAGCGAGCTTGCCGCGGACCCAGAGCCTGACGTTAGCTACGGCGACTTTAACCATAACGATTGCAGAGACTTCTGTGAGCGGCTCGACCGCAAGGGCTGCCAAAACAGCATTCAGATGTTCTGCAAGACTGGGGTACTCCAACACCTGACAAGGTAGCTGTGAGGAAGACGAGGAAGGCCAGAAAATGTGGAGGGGTGACTCACCAGTTGTCGGGGCCGACGGCGGGCGCATTCCCTACCGTGCACCGGAACAGGCTGTGATCGTTGAAGAGCTCGATCGCGATCACGACGCCGCTTCCCTCCTTTGCAAACTTGGACTCGAGGAAGCCCTCGCGGATGGTCGTGCCAATCTTCCACGCGACGTCATAGTCAAACTTGTCGAATCGGAGGGACTGTTCCTGGTCCGCGATGATCTTGACAAGCTCGCGCGCGCGGTCCGGGTTGTCGATCGTCGACGAGTCGTACTTTGTCACTTTCGGGGCGTCCATGGTCAGTCAAGAGGGAGGTCAGTGACGAAGAGACGGAGATGACGGGGGCGAGGAAGGCGAGGAAGACGGATAGGCTGGCTGACGCGGACACTGAATCCGCGGCGACTGAAACTGTGGTGGAGCACCACATACCGGCCGGGCATACCGCCGGCAGATGCCGTTGAACACCGGCCACGTCACGTGAGCGGCTTTGCCACGTGCGGGGAATGCACCGATAGTCAGTCAAATGCATGCATCGTATTCGTGCGCTCGGTCCGATTTCCTGGAGCGCTCGCCCGTCCGATCGGACGGCGAGGACGTGCGATGCAGGAGGGGTAAAGGGCAATGATGTCATGGGACCACGACCCTTGTCCGCCACATCGCTCCGACACCTGCTCCGCTCGGCGCGGCGTCCGTGCTGACGCCCGGGTCTGTCAGACTTGCCAGGCTTGGCAGGTCAGGGCCGGGTGTCGGCTGCGTCGGTACGAGCCCTTTCTTGCAACCGTCGCCACGCAGCTGCACGCAGGTTGCGCCATGTGCAGCAGCATTTACAGATTGATACCACACAGCTGGAAGCTGAGCTTAGCGCTTGAACTGTGTTTCTTGAGAAAACAGGGGGGAAAGGATGACGACGCCGGTCGTCCCCCATTAGTGGGCCCTCGCGCCTCGTGCCGGAGAAGCCGTGGGATATGGCGACGCGTGGGAGAATTGTGCGAGTTTCATCTGAGATTGTCCAGATCCCAAAATCGCCCAAGTACGGCTGACGCCGGCACTGTACGCCGGGAAGGGCGCCCACTACGCCGACACTATGGCCTCAGCCAAGACTTGAGGGCGAGGCAGACGGCGACAGCAAGCCACAACCCAAAGTCTTGGCTGGGACTAGACAATGGCCAGCGGCATCTCGTATCTCGACTTATTACTACACCCGCTGCTGCATTCGTCGACCCCGCAGTCTTGCATCGAGTACACCGCACGGGGTGGGGGCACGGGCACAGGGGCACAGGGCCCGGCTGCAAGGGTTGTAGCTGCTCTGACTCTGAACTGATACGCTCATGCCGGACGACACCGATGCCTGGGTGCATGATCGTCGTCATGTACCGTGTTGCTGGCGTCCGTGTGTACACACTCTGTAGGCAGCGATAGGCTGAGATGCTCTGAGAAGCGGGCGATGCGGGCGTAACAGAAAGGCGTCGCCAGTCCTTCGGCTTATGTTACACCAAACCTTTGCGGTGCGCCCTGTATTCTGAAGAAAGTTCACGACGTTCAATGAAGGCAGCGTCGCTATGGTGGACACTCCCCTGTTCCCAGGAACCATATCTGTTCAAGACCTCGAGACCTTATTACAACTGCCCTGGGGACCTGGGTGGTGCGATGTTGTCGTGAATGGGGAATTCTGCAACTCCGATGTGGAAACTCACAAGGAAGCAAGCACAGGTTGTAGCCAGGTTGGTAGCGAAGTTAGATCCACCTGCGACAGGAATAGACGTGTTACCACGCTGGACGTGCTGCAATCACAAATGCCCGTGAGAACAGATTGGGCAACTCATGAGCTCTTCCCTGGGGTGGAGCTGGGATCGATGGGAGCTGCCACTTTCGCATTTCGCTGTTGGCCGACTTCCGCTGACAGCTGAGAGCAGAGGAAGAGGATATGGGAGCGTAATGGTACAGGGCTCCGCATCTGCAGAAGCGCAGGCGGCTGAAGCGGCTGCACAGGCTTGCCAACTTATTATTAACCAGTGAATTGAAGAGGTTTGGCAGGATTGGGTGAATGTAATTGCCCCAGTGACGGATTACAAACTCTGTTGGACCCTATGACGTTAGGCGGCGCCTCGGAAGGAAATGCTGAGGACCTGATGACCTGATGAGGCCGGAGTCGAGGATGGCTGCGATAGGATGGGGCCGTGGGAGCGATGTGCGAAAGGTAGCGACCGGCAGGCAGAGTTCGGCAGCGTCGTGTAACTGAAAGCATGACCAGTTGAGTTGCTGTCTGTCTCTGTCCTCTCAGGCGAGCATTGATGGAAGCATGCATGCTCAAGTGAGAGCCGGTGGCCAGAGTGGGACTCCCCTGGCGACGTGGTGGGCGAGGTGGAGACATGCCCAGGGCACCAGACAGCGAGACAGTGCCGGAACCCTGAGTCGACTGCGCAACCAAGGGACAGGGACACGCTGAATGGTAAGGGCTCCTTTTAGCTCTGGAGGGGGTGAGCAGAGGGTCTGTGGCCCATGAACGAGCACATCTGACGCGGTCGGAGTGCTATAGTAGTCCCAGTAGCGCCGGCCTGATTAGGTGATTGCCTGATCCACCGCAGCAGAGCAGAGCACCCGGGTCGTCCACACCGTTCAACCCCGCCGCCCATCAGAGCCCAGGCATTTCGACAAGTGAGTTCAGGGGCGCTCACGCTACTCAGGGCTTGGGACTTGGTCAAGGAAGCGCAGAGGGCAACAAGCGAACGAGCGGCGGTTTTGACTTGGTTTCTGATCGCTTTGAATTCATGATGTCGTCCATGCAGCCGCAGCCTCAGCCTCAGCCAGCATCTCCTATCCTTCTCCATACGCTTGACGGTTGCGCCCTGCCCTGTGCATCTGACCGTTCTGGCTTATCCTGGGTCCTGGGTCCTGGTTCCTCTTGTCCTCCGCCTCACCGACGTCCTGCCTTCCCCCGCAGCACTCCTGGCACCACCGTGCGTTGCGCATCCGGACTTCCGACAAAGTCTTACCTTTCGAGCGACCATCTGTGCACGCCGCTGGCCATCTTGTCATCATACACACTGCCATTGCCGTCCATCTGCCCGCCCCCAACGTCCGTCCAGACGACAAAAGAAGTCGACGACTCCCATCTCTCGTTGTGTACACACAAACAGAATCTTCCTCGGCACTCAAGTTGGCGATTCGTCGGTCGATCCCCGTCCCACCGAATTGACATCATCATCTCTCACACCACAGCGCTCAGTCCCAGTCCCAGTCCCAGGTCCCAGCCCTGTCCTGCCCTGCGACTACTGCTGCGATCGCCTAGTTCGCTTCCTCCGACTGCCTCTCGAGTCTCACACCTTACTTTATCTCTCCTCCCATCATCCACCCACCGCCGCCCACTCGAGCTCTAACAGTCCTTCTCTGTCCATTTTTCCAAACGTTCCAACGTCCTCGGCGCACAACCCCGCAGCGACGGCGACAGCTTCGACAGCACCGACCTCGTCGACCCGACAGTAGCTAGCACAGGGTGACTCCGGCACTCCCGCCGTCACCCATTTTCAAACCGACCCTGCTTCCAATCGGACGGGCGTCTTTCAGCACTACTGCTCTGCACCCTCGCGCGCGCTACCTCCATCCGAGTAGTTCATCAGCTTAGTGCAATCGCGCCCCGCCTTCGCCGCTGCAACCTCTTGCTTCTGCACATTCTCTCTTTTCTCGTCGTCTTGCATCGTCAAGCGACACGTTGCGTACTCTTCTTGCGCATCGTCTTCTTTCCCATATCTCTGCAACTCAAAAAGCATCGTCTCGCCATTATTCCTCCGACTTGAACCCTCTTAACTCCCACCCACATCCCACGCTCCCATCACGACTCCGCGCCTTCCCCCGCCATCGCAAACTCGTTGATTGCCCATCACTTCGCCCCTGCCTCGTGCTTGTGCGATGCTGTTCACCAAGTCGTCTTCCTCACCAGCCCTCCCGCCCGGAGCGGCGGCGTCTCGCCCGACGGTGCCAGCTCATTCCTCTCCCTTGGCGAATACGGAATTAGCAGCCCAAGCCCCCAGGGCGGCGCGCCCCGTTACGGCCGCTAACGAGCCGACATCGGGAGATCTCCACTCATCCACGAGCTCGCCCATGCGTACTCGGTCGTCGAGCCCCAAAGAGCGCGGTGCCGCAGCCGCTCCTGCCACGAGGCCGCCGCCATCCGCCTTCCGATCAAACCGCAACAGCAGTGGAAAGGGCAAGGAGCGTGAGCAGGTTGCTCGTCAGAACCGTCCTGGACGTCACCCGTGGCTGATCGACCCGCTGGAGGCCCGTCGCAACGCTGATCTGTGGATGCAGCAAGACCGTGTTATCTTGATCCTCGGAGGTAAGTTGCGCAGTATTTCTGCACCGTCTGCGGTGGCTAATGTGTACAGAACCCACGCGTGCCACTTTGGAGCCTCTTCTATACTGCCCGTCCTTCCAGGATACGCTGATCCTGATCGGTACACTCCGCCCTGTCCCGGAGATCGAGGCACTCAGCTCTCCGTCGCAGCTGATGAACTCGGGGGATCACCGCACGATCTACCCGACCATCCAGCCGTTCAGCCCGACTGCGGAGGCTGTTGCTGAGAAGAACCCGATCCCTGCTATCATCGAGGAAGCCACTTTCCTCGCAGAGCAGTACCGCCGGTATGGAGGCACGTTCGCCGCACCGACTCCTTCGGGTAACGGCGGTCGACGATCTCGCAGGGGTTCGTCCAGCTCTGGCACTACCACTCCTCCTGTGTCTGGTCGCCACCGTTTCGCCAACATCGGCCGCCGCAACTCGTCCTCGGCGGACTCAATACGCTCTGTCTCGAGGACCAACTCGTTCACTGATCTGGCGCGCATTGTCTCGGGTGGCGGTCGCAGCCGGCCGAGCTCTCGTGCTGGCTCTATCAAGGACGGAGTGGCCGGCTCTGAGCGCACGGGTACTATCAAGAGGATCTCGTCATTCTTCTTTTTCGATGAGAGCCTTCGCCCCCAAGGCCCTCCCATCGACGCCGCGATCAACTTCCTCCCTATGCCGCCTCTGGACTGCGACTCCCAGACGGCTATGCACACCCTTCTCCAGCACACCATCGTCCTCACCTCTGGCCTGATGCCGGTGCTGACGAAGGCTGGCTCTGCCAGCAAGAGTGTTGATGGAAGCGGTGCCAAGTTTGATCTGGCGCCCTTATCGCTTGTGCACATTGTTCCGATCGACGCCCCGCCCACGCTCGCACCAGTCATTGAACGGTTCCTGGTGCCCTTCCTCCCGACCATGTCCAGTCGTGTCCGCCGACACCTTTTCTCTTGCGTGACTGGTCTTGGCGCCTGGCTGGCACCTTACACCGATGCTGAGGGCGCTGGTCTGTCGGGTGCCGAGACGCTACTGTTCGGAGGCGCCCGATGCGTACCCATTGCTGGCGGTCACGCCGGTGACAGGAAGATGCAGGCGATGATGCCTGGCTGGGACTACTGCCAGCCAGCTCCGGGGGCCCTCGTCGACCTCTCTAAGAAAGCAGGCGACGTGACCCCTCCGGCATTCGACCACCGTGACTCCGCGAACCAGCTGTCGCAGATTAGGTCCAACCACGCCTCAGCCTCAGCTCCGTCGTCACCCACCGCCGGTACGACTAGCCGCGACTTGCCGATTTTGTCGCCATCTCTGTCCCGCTCGGACATGCAGCATTCGAACAGCGACTTTGGACGCTTGTCCAGGACCGCGGGAAGCAGCACGAGCAGTTCGACGGACCAGCTTCGCATGGCGCCGATGTCTCGCAGCGAATCCGCCAAGTTCACTTCGCGCTTTGACCCGAGGTCCGGCGCCAGCAGCCGCTCTGCCCAGTCGGAGAACGGCCATGGCCACTACATGAAGAAGTCGCCTTCGATGAGCAGCTCGAACGCCGCCCCCCGGCGCGCTCCCTCGGCTCTGCGCAACTCGAGCAAGCCGACGCAGCAGCAGCAGCAGCAGGGTGTCTCCCCGCCGACACCCGAGCTCGACCCGTCCATGACTTCGAGCTGCTCGTCTTCTTCTGTTGTCGAGCCCTCCTCGGCCGAGGAGCGCTCTGTCAACAGCGCTGAGAACCCGAATGGCATGACTCCTCGCCCTGCGAGGAAGTCTGCCAGCGCCCCGTCGATCCGCAGCATGAGCCGCTTCGGCAAGGGCTTCAGCGGGTTCACGAGCATCTTCAAGCGCCGCGGTGTCGCTGCCTAAACGGACTTTTTACGAACACTCGACCTCCCTCAACTTGTCATCTCTCCCATCGCTTTTTGATTTCCATCCATTTTCCGTTTCCTAGCATCGACTGAAGTTATCGAACCAGCCAAACCATCATTGTACAGTGGGATTTTCTTTTCTATTATCTACCTACCCAAACTACTACGGAGACGATCCTTCTTCCGCCTAATCGCAGCAAGTAACCCTGCGCCAACGAAGGGCGCACCGCCAATCCCCCTCACGCCTCCCCCATCCACCGCAATCATCATGACGGACAGTTTTTACCAGCAATATTAGCACGTAGTAGTAGTATATGACAGCCTCCAGGCTGAATAGTAGTCGCAACGATCACATACATGCATCGTCGTGCCTGGATACGGAGCTGCGTCGCCCCACCGGAGCGATGAACGGCAGGCTGGCGGCTACCGTTCCGACGCTCCCACCGGAGTAGAGAACGGGGGCGGTGTCAGCGCAAGACACCGCAGCATGCGGTGCACGAGTGCGCACAAACGGTGGTAACGGCCAGAAATGCGCATCAGGGCCAGGGGTTGCCAGGGGGAGAAGAGAGGCGAGTCAGAGTCAGACCCAGGCCAGGGCCAGTGTAGGCGAGTCAAGTGTGGGCGAGTCAAGTGGCCATCCAAGTTGCATCAGCGGCGTTGCGGGGGAAAAAGGTACAGGTAGGCGAGTCATGTTGGTGGCCTGGTGGAGAGAAAGGGGAAAGGTAGGCGAGTCAATGAAGGCACGGGGGTGGACACCTCGTGGCCTGGCGGGGGCCTGGATATGGTAGAGAGCGGGAGCGGCGTGCCTCGAGCCAGAGCCAGAAGACAGAAGACAGAAGGCAAGAGTCAAAAGTGGCACGTACATCTGTTTCGCCAAGCCCTCGGCGCCTTGCATCATGTCAACAACCCCGACTGTACGTACTATTGGATGTCGGTCCGTTGGGCCAGACGTGCCCCGCACGGAAGAACGGTTGGAGTGGACATGTGCACGTTTGCGCCTGAGCTGTTATGGGCGATAGTGTTTGAGAGTTTGAGGGGGGTTGAAGGGGTCCGACATGTCGGCGTGCGGCTGTGCCTGTGGCCGAGGCGAGAGTGTAACTCTACCACCGCAGGGTGATGCGTGCCGAGCCTGCCGAAGCAACGGGGAAGTGTAGATCCCTGCACTCACAAGTAGTGGCAGGACGATACAATGGGTTGACGAGGAGCCAGACGACTCATTTACAAAGTGGTAAGGACTTCGGCAGAATGATGGCTACAACCTGAGGCAGAAACGGGTCAGCTGTCCGTATATGCCACCTGTGCACACTCTGCATACAGTTTGGGTACACTGCAGACTGGATAGATGCCGTGGAAGCAACTATGCGGACTGCCGCAAGCTCATGGCAAGCTCCTGTGGACCCCAGATGGCAACGCCAACCGAGAGTGGAGAGTGGGCGCCATGTAATTTGTGACCGGCGCGCACCACTTCGCCTCGTCTCCCTTCCTCTGCTCCGATATCTTTTTTCTTGTATCCGAGTCCTAAGTTTTCTCTTGGGCCGCTACTCCTCAATCAAGCAATGAATTCCTCCTCGCCAACACATGATGCCACGTTGTGGCTCCAGCCCGATTCTTTGAGAAGTCACCTTTTGGCGGCCGCTATTTGACCTCACCCGAAGATGTGAGCGCGTCGAAGTCGAATCGCCTAGGACAGGGTCACCCACCAACCGGACGATTCTCCGTCTGCCCTCGTTGGTCCGCGGAGACGCTGAAGCGACGGTGGAGGGGGCTGAAGATATTGTGCGTGGCCCACGACACGGCCCGCGACAAGTTCTCCAACGCACTACGGAGGCCTCATTCCTCCACGCCTGTCTCCCCTTCCTCTCTTCCGCCGCTATCTCACATCGACCGTCTCTTTCCCGTGGTTTCTTTGTCTCACTGCAGCAAGGAGGAGAATGCCACTCCAGGCCACAGCGCCCATAGGCGAGCTCTGCCAGACGCTTGAAGAGACGCTCGCTGGTAGACCTTCATCAGCTAGCTCCACGCTTTATGTCACGCAGTGAAGACTCTCTGCCGGAGCTGATTGTGGAGGTCCTGGTGCTTCGAGGTTTAATGGTCCAGTCAGTTGTCGGGCGCACTGGTGGTCAACTTCCTTGGATCTTCTTGAGTCTTCCCGTATCTAAAGTCACTGATTCGACGGCGCGGAGAGGTTCTAAAGCGAGGAAGCTCGTCCTGGAGAACAACAGCGTCAGTGGCAATGTCAGTAGCGAGAGTCAGTGCCCCAGGTCACCGTGAAAAACGCCGGATCTCCCGGCAAGTTCAATATAGTACACAGTACATGCCTACCATCCCTTCATCTTGCCGGGGCCCTTGGCCCGCTTCCGCTTGTTCATGCCGTTGACGCGCTCGATCTCGCGCTCGCTAATCTTGAGGGCACCGCCCTCAAACCGTCCCACGCCCATGCCCAGACCCTTGGCACGCACCTTCTTGCCGCCTGTGCCAGCCATGCCGCGCTTCTTCTTCGTGTCGCCAAACGTCCGCTCCTCCGAGACCTGCATGTTGGGCCGCTTGCCCGCACCTTTCCGCCCGAGGTCGCCGAGCCCTCCCTTGCCCTTGACCCAGGAGCCGGCGGCTTCGGACTCGGCGCGCGCGGCCTCTGCTCGTCGTTGCGCCGCGTGCATCAGGCCTGTGCGCACCTTGGCCGGGTGCGACTTGAGGCGCGACGACGCCTTCAGATCCGCGGCGCCCTCGCCTGCCGCAGAGTCGTCGGCGAGCTCACGCAACCGCCCGCTTATCGCGTTCCGCTTGTCGACGGGTCGGTTCATCTCTGCCGCAGAAGGAAGGAGGTTCTGCAGCAGCATGCTGTGCAGTTCTTGGTCGAGGCGCTGGTTCGACGCATCCTCCTCCTCGTCCCTTGTCCGCTTGCCCGGCGGCGCGGCCGTCGCAATCCCGCCCATAATCTTAGCAGAGTTGCCCTTCAGGAACGCCTTCTTGTCCGCGCGCGAGATTTCTGTTCGGCCGCCCGTCGTTGGCGCAAAGACGACTTCCACCACCTTGGGCGCTGCCGGCTCCGTGGAGGTGGAGGCGGTGGTTGTCGCAGTGGACTTGGACTTCTTCGCCTTCTTCGCCGGAGCAGCAAACTCGTCCTCGGAATCAGTCACAAAGGCGTCGTCTGCCCCCCATCCGTCGTCGAACTCATCGTCATAGTCTTCCTCGTCGATGTCTCCTTCCTCGTCATTGTCGTCGTCCGAGGCTGATCCAGACCCCGAGCCGGACGCCTCCGCCGAGGTCGAGGGAAGGCCGAGCAAACTTCGCGAGTGAGCCTCGAGAGCAGCTAGCATCGCGGCCTTGTCGTCTTCACCGTCTCCGGATTCGCTATCACTGTCGCGGCCATCACTGTCGCTACCGCTTGAACTGGACGAGGACGGCGGTGGAGGCGCCTTCGCCTTGCCCTTGCCCTTCAGTTTCGCAGAACTGGCGTTAGCTTTGTTGGAGACGCCTGTAGCTTACCCTTCAGTGGATGTCCTCGGCTTAGCCGGCTTGACTCCCCATCCCTTCTTGATCGACATTTTTGCGGTGGATTGTGTGGAGAGTCGTTATTCCGTCTGGTGTAATAATCGCACGCCGCCGCGAAATCTTGAGATGGCGCTGCGGGGCCCACAAGCAACGCCTTATCCGTTCCTCCCCCTTGATGCCATGGGCGCCGTCATGCGGTCACCACTGCCCACCTGTGCACAACGCTACGATTGCATTCCGGGGGCACCTGAGCCCTGCGAGAGGATTCAGACTCGGGACACTCGGCGCAGAGAAGGGGCGGCATGCATCCCAGAACCGGGAACCTGACGGAAGGACCGGGATGGATGATCAGGACGGAGACCAGTGTTTACAGAGGGTCAGAGGGGCGTGCGCTGCTCGATCTGGGCCGTCCCAAGCGCACCACGGCGCACCAGCCTGCTCGCGATTTTCAACAACACGGAGACTGCGCGAGATGGCTTTCACATCACTGTCGTTCTTGCCGTAGACGCTAGCGATGGCGAGCAGCAGCTGATGCGACTCTGGCGCAGGGCCCGGAGCCGGTGGAGGCCGTGAGTGAGTGACGGGTGTATTTGGATTTGCCACCCAACAACGTGAAGGAAACCCCACCCACCCAGGCGGGCGTACGCCCAGTGTGCACTGTACGCGCGTCACACACTGAGCCCTCCCACCCACCGTACCACACTCCTCCCACCGTCACGAGCTCATCATCGTGCATCACCTCCATCTGTCATCTTGCCTTGTGACTCTTCCTCTTCCCCGTTGTCCACCAACAGCACCGAGTCACAGCCGCATCCACCCCGCTTCTATTCTCTCGGTACGTTGGCAGACCCGTCCCTGGCATTCCGGGCACTCTAACGGCCCTGCACTATCACGCATTCCTATCCCCGACGCAACGCTGACGCTTACTCCTCCCCTCGGCGCACATCCCTCATCTACCTCATCCGCAATCCTCAACAACCAACAACCACCTTGTCCATCACCGTCCACCACCTTATCTACTCCACAGCCTACCTCAATCCTAACCAGTCATGGTCCGCTCCAAGTTCAAGGACGAGCACCCCTTTGGTACGTGAAGTCGCCGCCCGTTTGCCGCTGGCGACGCGCGCCGCCGTGCTCCGATTGCAGCTGCTGACACTGCGTGTTTCCTTTGCCACCTCGCAATGCCCATCAATGACGCATGCCTGATGACTCCCCGACCGCTCTGCATGCTCACAATGCACCGTGACATGCATCGATCACGCACGATTGCGCATCTGTTCGCACCCATCGGATATCACCGTATCTCGCCAACCCTTGCGTTCCCAACACAGACAAGCGTAAGGCTGAGGCCGAGCGTATCCGCCAGAAGTACTCGGACCGCATTCCTGTATGTGCTGGCAACGTGTGTATACCGCAGCTGACACTCAGGTCATCTGTGAGAAGGTCGAGAAGAGCGACATCCCCACGATCGACAAGAAGAAGTACCTCGTCCCGGCTGTGAGTTGCCTGTTTTTGTTGCACGTAACTGACCACGCAGGACCTAACCGTTGGGCAGTTCGTCTACGTTATCAGGTGAGCTGGTTCGCGGTCTTTTGAGCTGACATGGCAGGAAGCGCATCAAGCTGTCTCCCGAGAAGGCGATCTTCATCTTTGTCGATGACATTCTCCCGCCGACGGCCGCCCTCATGAGCGCCATCTACGAGGAGCACAAGTGAGTGATAGCTGCAGGTGTTTAAGTTCAGCTGCTGACAGAACAGGGACGAGGACGGTAAGCTTGCTCCAGCACATGTCGACGGATAGCTAACAGCAGGCTTCCTTTACATCATGTACGCCTCGGAGAACACGTTCGGTGCTCTGGAGGAGTTTGAGGTGCGCGAGTAAAGGAAGAGCGAAGAAGTACCCCAAGGGCGTCGGGCGGGTGCGATGGGAGCCGTTGTCCAGCAGCGTGCGCGCGCCTCACACGGCACACACTCTACTGTGCCAGCCGCATCGGCCGCCTACGTGCGAGACCACCCCTGACCTGGCCCGAATCTCCCGACCTCGAGCAAGCAGAAGAAGATCGTCTGTAGTTTTTGTACTTTGAGAGGATTATTACCTACTGCCAGAGATTGTGCATGAAGTGTGGCCTGAAATATCCCCGACCCCACCCCAGTCCCCAGTGAGCTAGCTGCATAGTTGTACAAACAAAACATGTGGTGTCTCTAAGTCTAACTACTCCTCGTCGTCCATGGCCTCGTCGGCGGCTCCCTCTGCGCCCTCCTCGAGCTTGCGCATCTTGCGTCCGACCTTGAGACTCTTCATCTTGCGCGACTGGAGCTTGCCGAGGTCCTGCTTTCCGAGATGGATGCGACCGACCTTGTCGCCCATGTCGTCCGTCTCGATGTTCTTCCTCTTCTTGCCGAGACCCGAGGTCTGGTCCTTCTTGCTAATCTTGGGGCGGCGGAGGGCTTGCTTGAGCATATCGGCGTCGGGCTCAGCGACGCGGCGCACGCTGAGGTCCATGTTGGGGCCCATCTCCGTCAGCTGGACGCGCGGGATACGGCTGCCGGAGGAGAGCATCTTGACGGTGTACACGCGGACGTGGACGGAGGGCAGGGGCTTGTCCTCGCCATGGAACGGGCCGGCCGTGACGCTAATGACGTGCTCGAGGTTCATGAGCGGGATGCCCGTCTGGTGGTGCCCCTGGTACAGGTCGAGGAGGTAGCTCTTGAGCTGCTGGAAGGAGGGGTGCGTGTCGAACACGTCGCCGTGGAAGACCATCAGCGGCTTCGTGCCCAGCGACGCCTTGGGCGAGTCGAAACTCGCCATCGACGAGAAGGCGTCGACACCCACTTCGAGCTGGTCCAGCACCCGCCCGTCAAACATGCGCGAGAGAACGAGGTTGTGCGGCCGTTTCTTGCTGTGCAGGCCAGTCACGAAGAGAGAGGCGTCGTTCTTGCCAGAGAAGAACTCGAGAGACGACGCGTCCTCGAACGGGTGAATTGCGTTCTTCTTCGAAAAGTTGATCGCGTGCGGGCGCTTCATCGAGTACTGATGTTAGCTTGGCCAGGAGACGTCTAGCTGCACCAGCAGCGGATTGCTGGACAGGCTCTCCTCTGCAACATCAACAGTGAAGAGGAAGCATCTGCCTCTTCCCTACTCACCAGGTCCTTCATGACATCGCGCACCCGCTCCGAGGTGTTGTTGCCACGGACGAAGATGACCGTCTTCTCATTCTCCACGAGCTTGGGCTCGCGCGCCTCGAGTGCTCGCTTGACACGGGCGTTTTTCGGTTTACTGCGGAGGGTCAGCTTATCTCATCGCAGGAATAAGAGCTCACATAGTCCTCAGCATCGACATGTTGGGCTCGATGTTTGTGTTGAGGTGGGGTGTAGGAGATGCCTGTTGTCACCGCCGAGCTAGACGATGGGTATAAGGTGAGGGTTCGCGGACGATCAGAAATTCGCAGCGCCAGATTTGGTTCCGGGTGGCAAGAGATGAGAAGGGGTGACCTCCACATTTACCACGTGGTGGGAGGGTCGTCGTTCTGATAAGAAGTGGACTGTTTTATTCGTGTACTTCGTGCCATCTTTAAGCCGCCAACGGACTCACGTGCAGACTATTGAGCGGAGGCTTTGTCCAGTCGGCGGAGGGCGGAGGGAACGGCGTCGGCAAGAGCGGCAGGGTAGGGCGTGAGTAGTGTGACCTGTGACTGGATAACTTGACCGGTCGGGTCCTCTTCCTGGAGACTCCGCCTGATAACGACGCTCCGCTGCAGTGGCTACGGTGGAGGTTGCACCAAGTACCAACCTGAATGTCTGGCGTGATCAACACCCATTCGACCTCCTTGCTCGCTCACTAGCCGTTCCTTAGACATTCACTCTCGCTCTCGCCCTCTTCCCCCTCTCTTGCTAGATCGCTAGACCCATCCGTGAACAGCGCAAAGCGGACCTAACGGACCAAAGACGGCAAACGCGGCAAAGACGGACCCGTCAACGAACGAGCGAACGAGCGGCCCTTCCCTCCCTCGAGCTGACAGATCTGTCTGCAGACCTCAATCCTGCGACCCCCCAGCCATGGAGCGATAGACTTGACTGCGCGCAACGGTTCACCCTCCGAACTCCGGATCACCCCTTTGTAACATTTTACCATTCTCGTCAACGTCGATCGCAATCGCCCAAGCCTTTGCCGTTGTCTACCGCCCACCCTTCTACGGCTTCGGCTTATCGCGATCCAACCCCCCACCCTTAGACGCTTAGACGCCTTTTAGACATTGGCGATATCCGACGTCTCCTTCCATTGACAACCAAACGACACCATGGCCATGGCGATGGCGTCTGGCCATTCGAGCCTCTCAAGTCACGGCCACGCTGGGCCTTCGCGCCCGAGCACGAGCAGGACGATAGCGACTACGCCGCTGACACCGAGCACGTCGCCGGAGGACCACACGCCAGCGCCGTCGACTGCCTCTGCGTCGTCCATCTTTGACCAGTACTGCTGTTACGACACTGACTGCACCGGCTGCTCCCTTCCCCACCCTCAGACGAAGGAGACTTGCGCCGACGCTTGCTACGATCCCTCCTGCGTCGAGTGCGACGACCCAGAGTGCGAGCCGAACTGGTGTCCCCCAGACTGTACCATCGAGGAGTTTGTGAGTAACCCACTGAGCACCCACCATCACGCCAAATCAAGGGTGGACCCCCGAAATCGGACTTGACTGACATTCCCCAGCTGCAGTGTTGCAATGACGCCGCGTGCACTCTTGGCTTGACGCAGCCGCAGGCACCGCAGCTCGACATCGTCTCTGCCGTGCTACACGGGCAGGTGCAGAATGTCCCGACGCCCATCAGCAGTGCAGCAACGCCGGCGCCGCAGGCGACAACGATATGCCACTGGCAGAACTGCCACAGGCAGTTTGACAACATGACCACCCTGCTCGCACACATCGCGAGCGACCATCTCGGCGCACTCCCTGAGCCTTCCTCGGCGCCGCAACCCCCGCCTGCACCGGCACCGACCCCGCAAGCACTGCCGCAACAGCAGCCGCAGGTCATGGGCAATGCGCTCGACACGCTCAGCATGAACATGAACATGGCGCAGATGGTGTCGCAGCAGCCAGCCCAGCAGCAGTTCAGACAGCCCGAGATGCCGAGCGGCGATCTCTTCTCGTGTCTCTGGGATGACTGCTTCCCGACGCTGTCTGATCCGGCAGCGGCACAGGGCCACAACCATGCGCATGCGCATCCGCACCCGCACCCCCACGTGAAGAGCGATGCGCCGCTTACGCCGGAGACCATGCTCCGCCACCTGCTGCAGGAGCATCTCGGCGTCCCCCTTTCCAACGGGGAAGTCAAGCCTCACGACGCTCACCACGCCCACCCGCATCCGCACACGCACAACTGTGACCATGCAGCCAAGGCCGAGTCCCATCCCGCGCCCCACAGCCACCACCACGAGCACGCCCACCCGCACCGCGACCACCACCACCATGTCGGTCCCCGGCATAAGCGGCAGTACCCCATGGCATGTCAGTGGCCGGGGTGCACGGTGCAGGAGCCGTTCACGAGTTCTGCCGAGCTCATGGAGCACCTGTCCGAGGTGCACGTCGGCAGGGGCCAGGACAAGTACGCGTGCCACTGGGGACAGTGCGGTTCAGGCCAGGGACGGATGTTCTCGTCGAGGCAAAAGGTGCTCCGCCACCTGCAGAGCCACATCGGACACCGGCCCTTTGTCTGTTCCGTCTGCGGGCAGGGCTTTAGTGAAGCGGCGCCGCTGGCCGCGCACATGCGCAGGCACACCGATGACAGTGAGTACGGTCCTCGACTCGCAAGCTTAGGCCCTGTCGCTGCGTCGCTGACGTCAGAACCCTTCGTATGCGACCATCCCGGGTGTGGCAAGGCGTTCGCGATCGCCTCGTCGCTCACGATCCACAAGCGCACACACAACGGGGACAAGCCCTTCGTGTGCTCGTACTGCGGCAAGGGCTTTGCCGAGGCGAGCAACCTGACGAAACACATCAGGACGCACACCGGCGAGCGGCCGTTCAAGTGCTCCCATCCTGGATGCAATAAGCGCTTCGCGCGCCCGGACCAGCTGAAGCGCCACCAGGGCGTGCATCTCGCCAAGGAGATGCGCGTGGCGTCGACGGTCTCGGGTGAGGTCAAGTCGAGAGCGTAGCTGTCCCCTTCATGATCCCTCTTCCACATCCCTCTCCGTCTTCTTATCACCAGCTTGAAACACTTCCTCACCCTCCTCTCTTCTCTCACATCTCCATTCATCGCCAGACAACACGAAACGTCTCCCTTCTCATCCAACCCCCCAGTCCACATTCAAAAGTACGCTTCGCTCCACCACAAGCACGAACACTCAGCAGCACCCACCAGTTGCACTGTAGATCTATACATTATCCCTCCAGACTTTGTATGTATCGCTTAATCCTTGCTTGAGCCCTTGGAGAGGGGAGGAGTGTGCGTAGGGTGGAACGGTGATGGGCCGACGGGCCGAGGTGTGTGATGCGCGACTCTCGTTCGTACATGCTATAGAGGTAATGCACGGCGCAAAGGGAGGTAGAAGAGCAGATGCAGTCTCAATAGTATGCTGGAGCATGTTGCCTTATGTTGCAGTAGTATGTCGAATGTCAAAGGGTTAGACGGCCCCGCGAAAGACTTGACAGTGGACAGATGGAAGGGAGTATGGGACTAGCGGCGATACGCACTCCGCCAGAACCGCTCGTTCAGCGTCCAGTCCTCGAGACAGCGGTCGCACACGAGCTCGTAGATTGTCAACCGGCACACGGCGCAGAGCGCGTGGCAGCCTGGTCCGTCGACTAAGGAGAACTGGCAGTATCCTGTCTTGTCAGCTTCCACCTCCTGTGCCGCCATCCTGTCGTCCCGCCTTGCCTCGCCTCCCCTCCAGCTCGCCTTATGCTCGCCTTATGCTCGCCTTATGCTTGCTGCTTGACTTACCACCAGAACCTTTGGCACAGATGAACGTAGCCATGTCGTGGTTTGCGTGTGGACACAGGGGGAGCGCCGGGTTCGCGGTCGAGTAGATGTGGTGCGGGTTCGAGGTGTGCGGGTTGCACATGGCTGTTTCTTAGTGGATTGCACTGGGTGGATCAGTGGATAATGTCAACCAGTGAGCAAGTGAGCAGAAAAGCGAGTGCACATCACGAAGAGCCGACGCATGAGTGATGTGTGAGCGACGTTGCGCCCCAGCGAGAACGAGTGCAACGGGGCGAAGAATCATGTACCTGCATACCTGCCCTTCTGATCTGTCTTTTGGGGATCCATCCATCATCTTACACGCCTACCCTACCTCCGCATGACCTCCACGCCCATCGCGGTCGTGTCTTCTGTCAATACCGGGAGACTACTCCTACATACCGTGGCCTGCCGTGACCTCGATGACTTGGCCCGTCATACTGTCGTTCTCCGCGAGCATGACTGTGCGTTAGCTAGACGACCTCGCTCCCCTGCTCCTCGTCACTTTGGCCTCGAAGCCAGTCGCCGTACTCACTGTAAGTCTGCGCAATGTCCTCGGTGTACGGGACGTGCTTGAGCGCCGTCGCCTCCTTCCAGTTCTCCTTGACCTCCTCCGGGAAACGGTCCGCCCATTCGGTGAGAATGAGACCAGGCGCAACGGCGTTCACGCGAATGTTCGGACCGAGCGACTTAGCGAGACCGCGCACGAGGTGGATTGAGCCAGCCTTGGAGACGGCTGAGAGTTAGAACGAGAACGCTTGCGAAACTCACAGTAGGCCATGCTGCTGCCCGTTGGGCGCAGACCGGCGATCGACGCTGATACGATGAAGCAGCCCTTGTTCGCCTTGAGCTCGTCCTCGAGCGACTGCATCAGCCAGAGGTGCGCCATCACGTTCGCCTTGTAGGTCTGGTCCCACTCGTCGTCGTTCATCGAGCTTGATCGTTAGCTACGGCTGGGCGATGCTAGCTGTCTTCCTCCACCGGAAGGCAGGAAGAGGAATATATGACGGTTTGCTTTGAGGTACTCACGAATGTCGGACCACGGGGCGATCTTGGTCCAGCCAGCGTTTGAGATGACAATGTCTACGCCGCCGAGCTTCTCCTTTGCCTCCTTCGCGACCGCCTCGACACCGGCACGGCTGAAGACATCACCCTGCACGAGAACATGTCCGTCGCCCTTGAGACTCTTGACGGTCTCCTCGGCGCGGTCCTTCGACGCGGCATAGTTCACAGCGACCTTACATCCGCGGTCCGCGAGCTGCTTCGAGATCTCGGCGCCTGATCGTTAGCTGTTGGCACCACCTTCCCCAGCTAGTTGCCGGCAATGGGTCTCAGGTGGGCGCTGCGAGGAAGACGCCCGACGAGGCAAGAACTCACCGAGACCGCGCGATCCGCCCGTCACGAGTGCGCGCTTGCCCTTGAGATCGATCATGCTTAAAGTGAGGTGTGTGGGGCGAGTAAGAAGTCGGGGAAGACAGATGTTGAAGATATGGGCAACTCGACGACGCGAAGTCGGCTGAGAGCTTTGGGGCAGCCTAAACGCGCCTACCTTGTAACCTCGGCAACTAAACGTGACCGGGTCCGGGCTCGGTCTTGGCCGTTTACCGAAACCCACCACCGCTGGCTCTGTCCATCGTACCTACAACTGCCCACTGCGATGTTGGTGGGACGATGGGACGAGGTGTGGGACGTTGCATGAGCCTTTCAACTTATGCATTCATCTTTCACCTCAACTCGCTCCCGGCAGCGTCAATGGCCATGCGAGTTTCACGGCAGTCTCACGAGGTTGTTGACCGGCCTTCTCCGAGCTTATCGGCCACCCCTACGTCATAGCCAACCTCCATCCCGACCAGGGTGCGGGCTGTTGTCCAGCCTCTTTGCTGTAACAGGCATTCCCGTCACCACCAATGGCCCACATACCGACGCTTCGAGAGTTCGAGTCGAGGGCGGCGGCATGCGCATGCCTGGCGGTGGTGACTGGAGATGGTCATCTGCTGCTGACCGGTGAATGGCGGCTCACGTTCTGGTGCTCAAAATAACCCGCTTGACAGCCGCTGCAGATGGCATCGGAGTCTAATCGGTCGCCGAAGGTCTGGTTCGGGAGCTGGCAACTGACAACATTGTTTGCGTGCTTGCCGATGTATTCCAATGCGACTGAAACAAGTGCATTGGTTGCGGGGTGGGCAGCAGCCTGGATAATGCCGCGGTTGACTGCCGGCCACGCCGAGGTTGGGTTTCAATGGCGGTACGCGGTGGCGAGAATGGGGTGAGGCATAATCGACTTGGCAAGACTCGCATGCGCACGAGACAAGATATAGCAAAGTCTTGGACGTGGGTGCAGACACGCATCGCGCACGCAATCAACGGCCACTGGCGCTGGGACGCTTGTATCGTGATTGGGTTCGCAGCGCGATTCTCAGACAGTTGTTCACGGATGAGCCATGGCGCAATACTCTTCGCCATCAGGAAGCACCTGGCAAACTGGACACAGCACTGTAGCGCGGAACCACGTACTTCCGCACGGCCGACCAGCACAGAACCCGAGTCGTAGTCACAAGCAATACACATGCTGTTGTCATCCAAGCACATCGGGCTGATGGCCGGCAGAGGGCCAAGGCAAGGCGAGCTGATGCGAGCTCCCTACCCAGTATTGGGAATGAAGGGATTAGGACTGACTCCCGCCCATCGCTGTGTGAGATCCTCGTACGGAATCAGCAAGGAATAGCAAGTCTGCACAAATGCAGTCACCGGAGATATGGTATTCTTAGCTCTCGTCGCTTGGGTGACAGCGGATACACACGCGACAATGATTGCACAGGTAAGGCGGGGCCGAGATTACCAGCGGCGTCTGTCTGCAGACGCTCGAAAACGTTACTTGCGCATCAGAGCGTCTTATGTCCATTCGGAATGAGAAGAGCCCATCACATGCTAGCCCGCAACGGCTTGCCTCACGACCGAATCGCGGCTAGCGACGTTGAGCTACCGCCGCTTGAGCAATGACATGATATTGACGAGAAGCTTAAATGTTCCGCGCTGCCCTGTTCAAGCCATCTAGCGTAGGGATGCCGGTGGAGTGAAAGGTCTCCGAATCCATGGGTCCGCACATCGGGAGGCAGACCGGAACGTGCGGGAACTGCCTCTGTCGTGCTACGCACTTGCGGCCGTGTGCACTTGGCCGTACCCTGGTTTCTCAGCAGTGCGCGCTTGTTCTGCCTCGGTCACAGTCTAAAGCCAAGACTCTGGGCATGACAGCCTCCTGTGTTCCCTGCCTTACGAAAGTGTCGGTGGATATGCGATTAACTGGGTTTTTCGACGACCTTACGGCCTGATCGTACGCCCACTAAGCGTGCGAAGATGTCTCGCGCTTATCTGCAGAAGCGGAGGATTTCCGGCCCCACCGAAGTCTGACGAACCTCTGGTTGACGGCATGCACGGCGTCTCGTGGCTGGGACCAACGTAGCCTTGAGCAGGCATGCGATGAGAAAGGAGCAGGCTCTATCTGCTGCTGGGATCACTGGGGTTTGCACATCACGCCTGGATCATCAAGGGAGTGAGCGGTCGTGCCCACAGCCCCAACATTTGAAGAAGCGAAGGGTATCCTTTTACGACGCTGTTGATGCTCGAAGCTGAAACAAGGTCCCTATCAGTACCAGAACTCGTGTCGCGTTGCCTCACCACCGAGGTGTTCCACAAGCTTTCCAAGCCACTCTTCCGAGAATATGGGATCGTCCCGTGCGCCAGAAAGCTATTCCAGCCAACTCAACCAGTCCGTGCATTCGTAATGCGTAATGCGCTCACTGGTGATCACGCACTGCTTCTTCCTCTCCTTGCGATGCTAGGTGAGGAGGTCTGCAAGTGCCCAGGCATCTCTTGCAGCGTTGCTCGACTCCACAAGAGGTCCGAACTCTCCCTCGCTGCAACCCCTCTGACAAGTGAGCGCAACTTGAAGAGCTCCGGGATCTGCTTTCGCATGCAACGGTTCCTCCACAGTACCAAAGCCCCGTACATCCACGCAGCCGAGGGGGGCGCTGCCAAGTGACTTACGCCACCTAACACCTCCCCGCAATGCTTGGACGGCCGATACTGTGGTCTGGGAACAGGTACGGGAAGTACATGTTGCCGCCGACTGGCCCAGACAGAGCAATTAAGATACCCAGGCGACGACCAGGAAGACGACGGGGAGAATTATGGGCATTTATGGTTCGAGAATTCAGAACTCAGTGCTTGGTTGACAACCAAACAGACGTTAATTGAGGCGTTTGCGAGTCTTCGTCGTAGCTGAACTGGACAGCTTGCCTGACAGAGTCGGAGCCGGAAGAAAGCATGCATGAAGGCCAAAGGGTGAGACATGCAGTATCACTGTGATCCGTCGTAGATGAGTGCTGTTCTCACGCTCGGCAATTAAGGAAATGAGTTTCAGTTACTGCTGAAGTCAAGATGAGATCGTAAACCGTGCTGTGGAGCCAATGCAGACTTCTCTGCGATGGTTGACCGGATTCATTTGACCATTATCGAATTGGTTCGGAACCTGAATTAGAACTTTCGGAGCCAGGCAGGGGACGAGAGAGCGGCGGGCTTGGCTTCAAGGTGAAACGAGGAGCAGAAAGAAGGTTGTCTCTACGGGTCTTAAAAGTCGTCATCCGGGACAGGAACGCTGACTGAAACTAACAGATTCTCTGTTGTTTGTTCGCGGCATGTGGCGGGGCCTGTCAGAAAGAGGGCAACTGACCGCATACCTTGCTTGCTTAAGGGCGTACCTGTACCACGGCACCGAAGGAAGGCCCCAGAAGCATGAGCGTAGTCAGCCAGAGATATGGAGTCGGTAAGGGACAATGGCTCACGGGTCGGTTTTGAGAGTTGTGCAAATAGAACAGAGTTTGTTCAGACCGGGGTTCTCGGTCGTCGCTGTGATGCACTCGTTGCTCACTCACTTCCACGACCTTCAGGGAACACCACTACGCGGTGCTAGCCTTAATTCCAATATGCACACGATGACAATCGAGCAACGGCATAGACTCCCCGATAGATGAGAAGATCGTGCCGGGCTGGTCTACCAGCAACTGGATTTGCTAAAGCGATGGCGCAGCCGAGTGGGTGACGAAATGATGCCGAGGGCTTGTTGTTGTCGGGTGCGAGTCGACAGCCAGTACCACAACTCGCATAGCTCTACGTCAACAGGCAACTGCACTGCAACCCAGCCTCAGCTTCAGCCTTTGTCTCCCGGATGCCGGTGTCTGCTCGTAGCCCGCCTGGTCTGCACGACATGCCTTCACCGATGTTCTCTGGTTGCCCGCCGCTTTGGGAGTTGCTGAGTGTGGACCGGCTTTCGTGATCACTTCGAAGGCACGGCCAACCTGTGTGAGAGGCATTTAAGGAGCAGCAGCTGACCAGCTTATCCCCTTCAACCGACTTCGACAACCGACACCGACGACTGTTCGACAAAGGCAGCATGAAGTTCTCTCAGCTCTCTGCTGTCATCCTCGCCCTCGGAGCCAACGAGGTCTACGCCCAGCGCCGATGGGGCCTGGGTAACTGGCGCGGCGTTAACCGTCAGGGACCAAACCGCTACAACTACAACAACAACAACGGTATTGTCCAGATCGACAACAACTGGCAGGGTCAGAACAACAACCAGAACGGTGGCAACAACAACAACAATGGAGGCAACAACAACAACGACGGCGGCAACCGTCCCGCGGACGACGGTCTCTACGGTCAGTCTGTAGCCTACGTCCAGCCGACCCCGAACGCCAACAAGGAGAACAACGATATCCAGAACAACAACCAGGCGCTCGGTCTCGGCGGTGGTGGCGGTCAGCCCCAGGCGACTGGCAGTGGCGCCGTACCCGTCCCGTCTAACCCTCTGGGAGGTGTCGCTGTGAACGGCAACCCCAACGCGGACGCATTCAAAGACTCCGCCTCTGGGGTTTCCCTTCCTGACGCCGCTGGACCTGTCGACAACAATGATATCGTTGCCGGCCGTGGTACTCAGTACCTGTACGTTTGGGCTGGTGCCGACGGCCGTGTAAAGCAGGACCGCGTCATCACTTTCAACTTCGATCCCTACTCTCCATACTACGGCAAGCCGGTTTCCCAGGCCCTTGTCCCCACCTCTGGTAACGAGCCCCACCACTGTGGTATCTCCAAGGACAGGCGTTCGTTGGTCTGCGGAGGCTTCCTCTCCTTTATGAAGAGGCAAGACGAGATTTACTACTTCGATCTCTCCAACCCCGCCTACCCCCGTTACGCCAAGTCTTACCGCGGCATCGCTGCCTCCGTTCCCGACGAGTTCATCGCCCTTGAGGACAATACCTTCATTCTCTCCGAGATGGGCAAGTACGACGGCTCTTCGCCGGGTCGTGTTGCTCGCCTGAACTCGGACGGCTCCATTATCGCCGAGTACCCGCCCAACCCTCCCCAGGACTTCAACCCTCACGGCATGGACATCCGCAAGGACCTCAACATCTTCGTCACCTCGGACTACCTGAACGCTCTCTCGGCTCTGTACTACACGGGCAATGCTGACCCGATTGTGCGCTCTTCGCTCCGCGTCTGGAACCTGCAGGACTTCACCATGTCCAACAACACGATCTACCTCCCCGCCGGTACCGGAACCATGGACATGCGTCTGATGAAGCGTGACCCTCAGGGCCGTGGCTACGTGGGCGGCACTGGTGACGGCAAGATCTACTTCTTCAACCCCTTCACCTTCACTGCTGAGCTTGTCATCGACGTTGCCGACATTGTCAACAGCGTGAGAAGATGACCGCCGGTATGATGCAGATTCTCGCCGACGACTCTAAGATTTACATCCTTTATGCCTCTGCTCCTGACAACACGGGTAAGCCCGGCCACCTCTCTGGTATCGGCGTTTACGACATCACTCGCCCCGAGCGTCCTCGTCTCGTTCAGAACATGGTGCTTCCTGCGTATGCTGCGCCGCACCTGATCCACATCAAGGACCGTCGCCTCGTCGTTACCGACTACTTCCTCGACATGGACAACTTCGGAAAGGTCCACGCCGACGGTGACCGCTTCGTCCGTGTCTTCAACATCCAGCCCAACGGATACATCACCGTTGAGTCGCGCTTCCAGATCAACTTCAGCCGCCTTGTTTACGGCGTCCAGCTCCGTCCTCACGGTCTCGGTTGGTGGTACAAGGACCAGTATTAGTGACCACGGACACTTTCAAACCACTCCTTCCCACAAACAATAATTATTTCCTTTTTTGCCAATAAAATACATATTATTCCCTCCCTCTTGTTCATTAACCACCCTACCCACACCCACGCAATCCACACCCTCGCCAACTACGCTATCTACTATCCCAGTCTCCGCAAAACCGGGGGCTCTGTGTACTGTAACAGTATGTTGAACTTCTTGAACATTACAAATGAGCGATTTCTCTCAAAGTGTCCAACAGTGCTCCGTTCGCCACTGACAGAGACTGACAAGTCGTGATGTCATCGGTGATCTGATCGATCGGGACAGTCGAAGCCCCGTGCGACTTACGGCACTACCAGTGAGATGGGGCGAGAAGGCTCGTAGCCTTCGCGCCGCATGACTCCGAAGTTTAGCTGAAACGTTTGCCTGAGCAACGGCTGCCAGCCATAACGGCAGTGACACGGCACGGCAGGAACGGCGTGCAGCTTCCTGCATGCCACCCGAGACGCCGACGTTCCCGCTGATAGTATAGAGTTCAATCACGGTTCAGCATCGTACCAATCTTGCTTACACTAGTCACCGCACCCAACTCAAGATAACGCTCTCTCTCCCCCGGTCGGGCCTGGGTTGCCAGTCATGCAACATCCGACAGACGATGCTGTGCGAAGTTGGCTGAACTCCCGAATCGAAGTTCAGAGCGATGGCCACCGACGACTGAGAGGGCTGCAGCTTGCAGACCTTACCTTTCGGGTTCCTCGTTATTGCCCTTCGTTAAGCTTATGTCGCGGGCTGACACCTCGTAAGAGTGGGATGTGGGGTAGAAGTGAACGGTTCAAGCGGCGTCTTATGCACCGTCGTGAGGTCGCCTTCCCCGTGACCACGACTGCATGGGCTGGACCGAATCATCGCTCGTGAGTTTCCGATGTCGCATTGTAAACGTCCAGGACCGAAGTCCTTTCACAGGCTCATAGGGAGTACATACGCTGCTTCACCAAGCAACGCGATATCTCCTGACGCAAGTTGGCTTCTCAGCAACTCGATCTCGTTGCTCACTTGCATGCTATGCTCGGCCTACGGTCCACCAGCCGGCGTCTGCTGTGTGGGAGTCGCGGGACGCGGTGGGCACATACACCGAAAACGCGCGATGCTCACGTTCCTGACCAAACGCCGCGTCGAATTGAGATGCCGCGCTCCTCGTGCATTCGCCGTATGTCCTTCTTCCTCGCTCATCATTACCATCAATGCTGTTGTAGCTCGCCCTTCAGCCATACAGGACATCGGTAATCTACATTGCGCTAATGAAAGATTCCTTCTTATCTTGGGTTGTGAGTTCTTAGCAGGAGGGGCGCAGCCCCTGGCGGAACATGGAAAGGTTTGGCGGCGGAGGGGTTCGTGTGCCATCGTATCGTCGGTTGATGGTAGCGTCCATCGTGGTGAACGCTACCTCTCGTATACTGGTTCCAGCTCCCCTCGTGAGCCCGCTCAGGCGTTGAAGGGGGAAATCGAGCGCAGTTTAAGCAGAGAGCACGCACTGGAATCACACAACACGTTTCGGATTCCGCTACAGCATAGCAGCTCAGTGAGCGTTAGACTCCTGGCAGATTACCATCCCATGGCCGGTACGCGCTGCAGGAACGAATACTTGTCTGGGTGCTTGCGGTGTCGTGGGCGGGGCAGCGCGTGCATTACAGCGAGGAGGAATGCTGCGAGAACGCTGACCATGAGCAGAGCGAGGAAGAAAGACAGCTGAGATGGAAGGTATTCGCCCGCGAAGCCCAGGACATGCGACGGCGTGACAGAACCGTCGGCGGAGATACGCAGTCGCCAGTCCGGGTTGAACTCAGCCTTCAGTCGGTGAAGGGCAAGACTCGGGGGATCGAGCCCGAACACGGAGTACACGTTCATGAGGAAGGGCACGCCGAGGAGTACGCCGCGCACGTGTGGCGCAGCGTTCACGTTGCTCAGCACGCACACCCCGTCGATAGGCGTGACGAGGTCGTAGGGATGCAGGCTGAACGAGTGTCCACCGAGCACGAACGCAACGTCGAGACTGCTGACCTCGGAGCAAGGGATGTAGTGCATTCCTGCGAAGCCCGTGCGGTCCCACTGCTGTCCCAGACGCTCAGCACCGAGGGCAGTCATGAGAGAGGCGTAATCATCGGGTGACAACGTAATGTACGAGTCACCAGAGTCGAAGATCGCAACGTCAGTGGAGAGTTCGACTGGGATGCCGGAGACGTGCAGGCCGTCCAGGGTTGCAGCCCAGAATCCCTCGATGTCGCGGACCTCGAGCGGTAGCGGATCGCCTTCGACGATCGTCTCGTTGACGCCACTGGAGGTCAGCGCCGATGAGCTAGCGTTGCTTACCCAAACGTGAGCTCTCCTCCGTCGAACGAGGTTAACCCCCCCTCGTGTCGCGCCTTGAATGTCTCTCCCTCTCGCCGTATGTGCAGCCCAAATTCCTTCACACCCATGTCGGCCCATACTGGTGGCGGTCGCCCTGCGAACGGTCGACTCAGACCCATGATCCCATCAATGCCTGAGGCCATGATTGAGTTGCCCCTCGCATCCTCAAAAGCGCCAGCGACGCCGAACTCGAAGTCAGTGCTCGTGCTCTGGCCGCCGACGCGCACGATGTCGCGCGCATACTGCATCGGCACCTTGCCCCCGCCGAGGGTGAGGATGTCCCAATCCTCTACGTTTGAGAATGTGGCCGAGGACTTGTCGTACTGCCGTTGTGTGGTGCACGTGTAGCAGTGCTCGCCGAACACCCACAGACTGGGCGAGCCAGTGTCGATCTGCACCTTGAAAGGCTGCGGAGGCGTCCCTATCTCGATGTCGACTACGATGAGGGCGTTGCGCATTTCATTGTGCAATCTGGCAGTCAGCTATGCTCTGCATGTCCCGCAGTTCACGCACCGCACGCTCGAGGTCTGTGCCCTGGCCGTCGGTGCGCCGAGGCGTAGGCTGCGCAGTGGGTAGGATCTTGGCCGGCTCTCCTGGACGCCATCCAGCGGCGCAGCCTGGACGGCCTGAGTTGCAGCCACCAGCGCCAGGACGTGCAGCACTGTCGTCGCTCTCATCCTGTTGACTTCTCGAATGGAAGTGAGTTAGTGTTAAGCAGTAGAAGATGCTCGTTCATGAGTGGAAGCTCAGTCGAAGTAGTCGCAGGTAGAGTCTGAAGCTTATGCGCAGTCGAGCCAGCTGCGCTGCGCGTATTGTCAGTTCCATACATAGTTGTCATGTTGCTGCGCCGGCGGCCACTGTCAGAGACGGCAAGGCCATGCAGCCTTCGGCGGTGTTTTTGAGTGACATCTGTCGGCATGACAACAAGACGCGCTTCCCCCGGACCCTTAGCGCGTCCAGCCCACTGCGCTGGGTTCGTCCCGGACACGGACAGTCAGCTGGACCCAGCACACTGGGCAGCTCGTCATTCCGTCGCAGCCTGGGCCTTACGTGTGCCTGCGAGGCGTCAGCTTCAGAGTTCTGGGAGGTCTATCCTGGGTACGAAGGACTTGACTCGACCCTGGAAGTGCTGCGTTTCGGGTTCCTTGCTGCGGTCGAGCGTCCGGCTGACGCGTCAGTCTCGCCAATTCGAGGCGTTTCGGATGAGGCTGAGGTCATCACCCCGGGTGCGGCTCGCCGAGACGTACTGAGAACGCTGGTAGCGACTGCGGTGGGGGCGGCCGGGGCCGGATAGACGTTCTGAGGAAGTTGCAGAAGGAGGAAGGACAGCGAAGCAAACACGAAATCCTGAACTTCCCCTCCGAAACCTGTCTCCCGACGCGCAGCCAGGCACTGATGAAGTGTGGTCGAAGACATATTCGCTTCTCGTCACCTCGGCTCGGATCTCGAAACGTTGCAGGAGACAGAGTTACAGTGCATGCTTATCGGCATGGTAGCTAGACAGGTGCTCTCGTTGACTTTTGATGAAGTGTTCCTGTTTGGAAGCCTGAAGTCTCGTATTGTAGTTATCTTATCTCTGGCTGACGAGATGCTCTTTCGGAAGGGGCGCAAGCCGTGGCGCTGGTGTGCGACAGTGAGATCGACAGGTGACAAGGTGAGCCGAGGGACGAGAGTGGACTGGAGGACTTGGCGGCTAGCCAGACATAGCGACTGATGTGCATTATACCTTTCTATCTTTGTGCTGCATCCCGTGAGGAGGGCTGCGGTCTATGTTCTAACCGTCAAGGCCAGCGAGGGGACCAGACTGTCCCAACGCCTCAGCCATGTACTTCATAGCCTTGGGGACGGCCTTGATGAGGCCACCAGAGAACTTCTCAATGTTGGACTTGACGGTGCCCTCAGAGAGGAAGGAAGATCCGGCCTTGACAGGGTGGCCCTTGATGCCGAGGCCGCGGACGGGCTCGGTCGGCTTGATCTTGTTGAACAGCATGCCCCACGCGATCATCTCAGTAGCCGTGACGGGAGTGTTGCGGCGGCGCCATCCGGGCGGGAACTGCTCCTTGTTGAAGAACCAGTCGATCGTCTCGGCGGTGCACGACACGTTGGCGCCACGGAAGACCTCTGTCACTCGTCAGCTCGCGTCAAAAGTGGAGATGCTTACCCATGGCGAAACCGCTCTCAGCATAGGCGATCAAGTGGCGAGTGGACGAGAAGTCGACGGCGGGGTTGTTCTGGACCGAGTCCTGGTAAGCACGGTAGCGAGACTCAGCGCAGACGGTGGGGTTGATGTCGTATCCATTGGTGCCGTACTTGGCGATCTCGCCGTAATAGGTCTGCAGACGCTGCTGAGACACCTTGACATGGTCTCCGAGGGCAGAGTCCTCGCGCGTGACGCTTCCGTCGCCCTCGATCGTACCGTGCTGGGAGAGACCGACACCGGCACCGCGGACCTGGCCGCCGATAGAGAGCTTCATGGTGTCGATGTCGCCCTTGAAGACGAATCCGGCGACGGTCAGGATGGCACCAAGGTCGGGGCTCATCGAGAGAGCTTCCCAGACAGCACGAACGAGCTGGTCGGGGGAAACAATACCGTTGTGAGGGAGGTAGCCGTGGTTGGCGAGGGTGTTGAGGCCGGGGCATGGGCCACGAACATCGCCGGGACCGGGGGCGACGTACGGGTGACCCTCGTCGGCGATGGGCCAGATGGGCGGGTTGCTGACACGGTCGAGATTGTATGTCTGATAGATGAGCTCCTGGGAGAGGTCGGCAGCGCTCTTGTCGAGGAGCGACGGCTTGGGCCAGCCCTCGAAGCCCTCGGTGGCGTTGGCCTGCGCGTAGATCCAGTCGACACCCTTCTTGATCTCGCCGCCGAGCGCCTTCATCTTGCCGTCGTTTTGGGCCTTGAGCACGCCGCCGAGGGACTGGCTGATGTCCTTGGCACCAAGACGAAGCGTGTCCCAGAAGCCGGACAGGCTGCGCTCATCGAGGGGGCGTCCCTCGACCGCATCGGCCACCCAGGGGTAGGCCGAGACGGAGGTAGCGAGGAGAACAAGTTGAACGGAGGAGAGCATGGCTAACTTTGAGCTTGCTGTTCAGTCGTTGTCGATTCGAGCTGTGAATGTTCTCTTTCTTCCACTCTTTATAGCCCACCTTCTATGTGGGGGCGCGGTGTTCTTCTCCGCGCGCTTTCCCCTGTAGAAGACATCCTTGGCACGGGGTGTTTACAGCGGCGGAGAAAGAAGTGGGGAACTCGCTAGGCAGCTTGCCCGCGCAGCGCACGACCAACGCGCAACCAGCGTGTGGTACCGAGGAGAACATCAGGGATTGTGTCTCGGTGTATTCAGTGCCTGCCGATATCTTACATGACGGGCAAGGGGCCGTCGTTCCCGGAAAGCATGTTTTGGCCATGCTTGCCCCCTCGTCCGCGAGGCAAAGTTCATGCAAACCACAAGGTTCGGCAACAAGCTCTCCACAAGTTCCCAGCTGAGCGCGAAGTGGGAGCGAGCTCAGCTGACCTCTGGCCAACTCGGCAGCCCGCAGATGTCATACGGGATGCCGAAGGTTGTTAACTTTGCATCGGATCGACGGCAGTGCTTAACGGTCACGCCGGGTCGGTTTTGACCTCACAACCAGGTCATTTGACTTCACAGCGGGGCAAATTGACTTCACGACCGGGTGATTTGACTTCACAACCACGGCATTTCAACGACACTGCACTGCAGACTCCACCGCGCGGTCTTGTGAACCACCACGCCGGATTATGCTTACATGCCCGTGGGTGTAGATTCGCCGAGCCTCCGGTGCACAAGCTTGGGACGCTCTCCTCTGAAGAGCTTTTTACCTTTGCGTTAAGGTGAGCAGCCCGGCGCAATAAGGTGAGCACGCCTTACTTTAAGGTAATCACAAGCCGGTTCCCTCTACATAAGGTCTCGGCGCGCTCGGCCGCCGGAGATGTCCTCATTGCCAAGTGGTGATTGAGTGGTCTCAGTGAATTGGGTGTGCCTGGAGGCGATGTGCACGGGGCGGTTATCTTATCGCGTCAGTGGCGCTGCTAGCGAAACTCAAAATGCTTTGTGAGATCATCCTCGATGGCCATGGGTATGTCAAGAATGGAGCCCAACCCGAGGAAATCGTTGCGAAAAGAACAGGGCACTCTGTGAAGAGCTCTTCGATATGAAGGGGTGTGATGAAGAGGATGCAAAGTCGAACGTGTCTCCTCACCCCCCGAAGACAGAACGAGTGACCTCGGCATAAGCTTCGTTGAATGTGACTACTGAATGAGGGTGTTGTACCAGTGTGAGGGTCCGTTACTCCATTTTGTGAACGCCGGCGCCGTGTACGCCGGAGGGGTTACCACTAACGCATGTCGTCAGCTCGTCATGTATGTGCATGAAGTGTCGCTTATCACCTCATGCCGCACGGACAGAGCGTATAGTCTACACCGCTTTCACGTTTTCGCCGAGCTGGCCGTATCTCCCCTTGGCGCGAAGCCATAAATAGCGCAGCACACCGTGGATAAGGTCTGATGAATGACAATCTCGATCGATTGATCCTTCTCCGAACCCACTAGCGTGCTTTGTCGGATGGTGAGTGGACCATGTGCTGCGCCCCATCCTTTCCGCGTGGGCATGCCATGGCGTGGAACGTCTCGGAGCACTCGGAGAATTCACCGACCTGCTGACGGCAGATGTTCTGTTCGCTTGCTGAGAACATTATGCATCAATTCTATCGGAAGGGCCGGACCGCATGGAGTCGTCGTCGGCATCGGCCATGGGCCGCATGATCTGATGAATGGTGAACCATGTCTGCGGATAATGGCGACATCGTGCGGTCGCACCCTTATCTCTAGCCTGTGAAGCCCTTGCCCGGCCCTGCTTAGCCCTGCTCGGCCCCACTCCCACAAGGGTTGACGGTGACCAACGCAATGCCCGTTGGCACATCACAGAGCACCCGCTGAATACTGAAGCTCTCATTTCGGGGGTTGAAGACCGATCTGTCCTTGTGGAATGGCCGGACCGACGAGTGTCTTGCTCGCGCCCCAGTTTGATATGAGCGCGCTAACGGCCGATGGCTTGATGGCATGACCTGCGGACCTCCTCCAGTCCTGCGCCGGAGTGCGCTTAGGACGCTAAACCGGCGCCACCGCGTGGGTTCGTCTCTGCCCGCTCTCATGTGCACATCGATGCGGCCAGATCGGCGCAGCTGTCACAGCCATACGGCCATGTCGCGCAGCGCCGAACCCGTCTCTCGCAAGGTACTTAATGGAGCTGCTTCAACACCTATCTTCCTCACACACCCGCTCCCCATCTTGCTCTTTGTCACTGCTGCGGCAGCCTCCCCTCCCTCCTCCTTTGCCACTTGCTCTTTGCCACCATGTACACCGCCCCTGTCGCGGCCCTCACCGCTCTCCTGGCCCTGGTGCCTGCCCTCGGTGCCCCGACTGAGAAGCGTGCCCAGCCCATCACTGTCGACCTCGTCCGTGTCCCCAAGGCCATCCCCGCCGACCCCCATCAGGCCACGCTTGAGAACCGCCTCAAGTTCACCGGCAACCACGAGGATAGGACCCGCATCAAGGACGAGCTGAGCAAGATCCGGTCCAAGCAGGCTGGCCAGGCGCAGGCCATCAACTGGGGTGCGCAGTACGCCGTCCCCATCGACCTCGGCACCCCCTCGCAGCACTACGACATCCTCTTCGACACGGGCTCCTCGGACACCTGGGTGTGGGGCTCGGAGTGCACCGACTCCCTCTGCCAGGCGCTTCCCGGTTTCGACGCCACCAAGTCGTCCACCGTGTCCGACGCCCACTACCAGCGCAATCTGTCGGTCAGCTACGGCGACGGCTCTGAGGCGCATGGCGACTACATCCGTGACAAGGTTGCTGTTGGTGGTATCTCGCTCGACTACGACCTGGGTGAGTTCACCTGTCCTCCCGGCCTTCACCTACTGACAGACAGGTATCGCCAAGACTGCCGAAATTAAGGGTTACGCCCACACCAACATTGCGGGCATTATGGGTGCCACCCGTGTTGGCATCCTGCAAACCGATGAGGGTCTCAAGGTCGACCCGAAGACCAACCCGTGGTGGGTCGAGGCCTACCAGAAGGGTCTCATCCCCGAAGGCATCATCGGCCTCGACATCACCCCCGCCGGCATCGAGGACGCCGAGACGACCAAGACCCCCGGCGGCAAGCTCACTATCGGGTAAGTCATTCCTCCCCTGCAACACTAACCTCCAGTGGCGTCGACCAGGGCGCGATCGCGGGTGAGATCGACTGGATCCCGATCGGCAGCAACCCGATCTTCTGGACGCTGCAGCTGGACGGCGTGGGGCACAAGGACTCGGGCGCGTTCGGCAAGTACGGCAAGCCGATCATCATCGACAGCGGGTCGACGGCGATCCAGCTGCCCAAGGCGGTGCTGGACCCCGCCGTGCTCAAGGTCAAGGGCGCCAAGGACGCGTACAACGGCGGCCAGTACCTCGTGCCGTGCGACACGAAGGAGAGCCTCACGCTGCGTTTCAGCGGCAAGGACTTTGAGCTCCTCGCGCGCGACTGGGTCGGCCGCGAGGCCGGCAACGGCCAGTGCCTCTCCCAGGTCATCTACTACTCGCCTCTCGGAGACCCGCTCGACTCCAACGGCGCCATCATCGGCGACGTCTTCTTCCACTCGCAGTACTCGGCTTACCGCCTCGAGCCCGCCGCCGTCGGCTTTGCGCGCTACAAGCGTGATGCCTAAGCGGCTGGTCCGCCGGCGAGCCGAAGGCGAGCCTAGGCGGAAGCTGGGGCGGAGGTGAGGATGGTTGGGACTGGTGAGGCCGAGGGCAAACCTCAGCCCAGCGCCACAGGGCCGACCAGCCTCCGAGACACCCTACATCCTTCATGACGGACAGCGAACCAGAACAGTAGTCAGCAGTTGTTAACGAGTTAGTCATTCCTTTTTTCCTCTCTTGATGCAAACGATCTTGACGATGATCACGCGAGCGGAGTGAGCGCTGGCGGAAGGAAGCGCTGAGCACAGGGAGGAGGGAGGGTGGATCAAAAGACACGCCGAAAGGAGGAAGATTTGGGGCTCGGTGCGAGAGAAACAAGACTCAGGTCAGCGGCTGGCAACCCTCCAAGTAGCCAGTGACAAGCAGCGAGGTACGCCAACATGACGGCTGGCCACGCCCCAGGACATGATCGACGGGCGGTGCTAGGCACAGAGGTGTGAACAAAGTTATGGCTGTGTCGGCGGTCTGCAGTGAGCAGTGGGCGAAGGGGCGCGGAGCTAATCTCGGCCCAGTGAGTGAAGGCCAGCCTCTGGCCGGCAGGAGATCGAGAATTGAGGGGGATCTGGTCAGCATGTCTTGAGCCACAAGGCGTGGGTTCGACGCCAGCGAGTAATGGTGCACTGGAGAAATGTAAGTTGGAAGTGGGGAGGATCAGCCGAAGCCGAGCTATGCCTAGTTGGACGAGTTGGCTGCATGAGTTCTCCTGTCTCTGTCTCTGTCTCGTGACTACACTGCGCAAAGTTTGCAGGACTGCGGCCGGGCGCACCCGTCGATATCAATATCAGTTGTCCCCGCGGTAGAACTGTGAGCCTTCTGCCGTCTGGACGTCTGGATCTGATCGAGACGAGTGGCGAGTGGCAAGAAAGCTGGGCTGCCTGGCTTGCGCTGCCTGCATCGGTTGGGCGACAAGGAAGTCAGCACGCAATGCGCAGTCCGTGCGCAGATCACGCCGCCGCCGTCTATGGAGGTGAGTCACGCGCGCACGTACTTCACCCATGCACCCATGCTTAACGCTCTCCTCCCGGCATGGTACGGTCATGCTTTGCCACTCAGGCTATATGCATGCTGCTTTGCATGACGGTGACGAGATTCCAATGGTTTAAAGCTGGGTTCCAGTCCAGCCATCTTTGCGCCTTTGAACTCTGGGTGATCTGGATGCGAGGGAGGATGGATGGTGGAGGGAGAATGGGGGGTGGAGGTTGGGGCGCTGCAGTGTCCGCAGCCCTGCTTTTCGTAACCTCCTCTAATGCAGTGGGCAGCGCGGCAGCGGCGATGGAGGAGTGAGTGCGTTGAGCCCAGTCTCACGTCTCACAGTGACAGAGGAGGGCTCCAAGCGCAGTTGAAGCGTGGTGGAGGTTCGCTTTACGTTTTCATGACACTCGACGGCTGGCCGTGTCTGCCAGCCTGGCGGGGTACTCCTGTCCCGGGCCGCCGCCAATGGCCCGCTCACGGGTGGTGGCTTACAAGGGATGTGCATCAGGCCCAGGTCGTGGGCGTGCACTGTGCGGCGCTGGGGTGAGAACGCCTGCAGGATTTGCAGCCCGTGAATTACAAGTGCTCTCACAGTGATTTCGGGACATCCCCTTAACGCGCACTTGGTTGCCAAAAAGTGACCAGACCAGGAAGAGGAAGAGAAAAGTCACTCGCGTACGCATCTGGTAACGCAGTGAAACGCGCCAGTCGAGGTTCTGTCCATCGCGCTAGCTCCTGGGTCGGTAGATACTTACTCCGCGACGCCGAGTGCATCGCATAGGCCATCCCACCAGGCCACCGCAGTAGTCAATAGTGCACAGGAGGCAGGAGACGAGAGGATGTTCGAGGGGGATGCCTTGTCGTGCATCATCTCACTCAGGGATGGGCGAGGGAGTAAGGTTTCACGTAATGAAAGCTGGCCAGGACATGGCTGCGTCTATTGCCTCCACTTGGTCTTGGCTGACCTCTAATTTTCTGCGCACCCAGCTGCTTGGCTGTCTGTGCATTGTTCGGTGGCGTTGGATTGACTGCGCTGCACGAGCATCTACTGCACTTGTCGAGGTCGCCCATAATCTGAACGAGCGTCTATAGTTAGCTTTTGGCTGGGTGAAAGTTGTGGAGGCTGGTGCGCCGTGACGAGAGCGAGAGGATGAAGGGAGGCTGATCGGGCCCGTCTGAACCCGAAGAATTGACGCAGCGAGTGGAAGAGTGACGCCTTTGTGCCAGCCATGGCTGCGCTTGACTTTATGCTGCGCTTGTGATCAGTCATGGTGAACCAGCGCAGCCGATTCAGGCGGATGAGACTGCGCTGCACTGACTCGTATTCCAGTCCATTCCTCCCTTTGCCGTAGCGCGTTCGCAGCCGGGATTGCTCTGCAGTCAGCAATGTTCGAGGTCTTAGAATGACGGCCGTCGGAGGGCATCGGCATGCACAGAAGGAGGGCGTTCGCAGGGACAGACGTGATCTCGAACATGGCTTTATGGCTTTGTGGATAGTGGGAGTTAAGCATTCGAGGGTGGATGGACAGGTGTGCACGGCGCAGTGGTCGTGGTCTGGAATGTGCACACAGGGCCCACCCCAGGGTAGACGCGCTGGGCAGTGATCAGGCACGCGAGCGCATACCCTTAATCGAGACCTCTGCCAGCCTGCGTCATCTTGCACCACCACCACTCAGTGGAGATCGCTCCCCTCCGCAGTCATGTCCTTTTCGCGACTATCATCACTGAGCGGTGCTCGACCTCGACCCCCGCAGTCGCTCCTTGCTCTCTTGTTCCTGTCCAACGTTCCTTCTTCTCTTCCTCTCCTCTCCTATCCTCACTCTCTCTTCGACATCTTTGCATTTGCATTTCAACCAGCATCTCCCCACTCTCCCTTCTCTGTCTTCATTCATCTGCATTTGACGCATCGCTTCGCCGCGTTCGACGGCCTCGACACACCTCCGACCGGCCTATCCCGCCTTTCTTTCAACGACAGCTTGACGCTCCATTGTTCCCTTCGACCCTCGACTGACCCTCGTCGACCTTCAACTGCACAACGCATACGCATTCACCACGCATTCTTTCAACGCTTTCACATCACGCAGTCACCTGCGTTTCCTAACGACAAGCACATTCGCACTCGGTGTCCCAGCGACGACAGCCGATCGACTACCCCTCGACTGTCGCGACAGTGCGCCAGCGCCCCAACGCCCGCGGCTTACGTCCCTAACGCTCCTTAACATAGCAGCATGCTGCTGTCTCCCTTTCTGCTCGTTTCCGCACTTGCCGGGCAAGTGCTCCCGGCCCAGGCGCTCGAGTCGCTGCAGCTCACGCGGCAGCCGACACGCCGTACCGACCCGGACGAGAACGTCCGTCTAGCCTGGGCCCGCGACCAGGTCATCAACACCCGCCTCAAGTACCGCTCCCTCCTCGACGAGCCTGGCCGCGAGCGCCTCGCCCGCGATGTCCGCCGACACACGGACGAGATCGAGCGCCTCCAGCGCCGTGCCAAGCGTGACGGTTCCAATGCCGAGTGAGTATCCCTGCCCGAGCCCACCGTGCGCCCGTCGCACGCACCTTGCCCGCAGCACGAAACATGCACGGCCGAACCGGCATGCAGGCAACTCTGGTATGCTTGTCCTGCATGTGTTCGCCCAGCAGACACCTCCACCGCCCTACTAGCAGACATGGACCAAACTCTAATTCCCGCCGGACCCCGAACTTTTGGCTCGGGGGTGGTGCGGGCAGTGGCCGGGTCTCGATCTGGCCGATCAGGTGTCTGCTTAGTGTTTGCATGCGGCGCTTGCGTACATGTTTTTGTTCTAGCTGACCAGCACAGCATTGTAAACTGGGGCCGCGACACGCAGTTCACTGCGCCTGTGACGTTTGGCAACCAGGAATTTGAGCTCGTCGTCGACACGGGCTCGGGCTCGCTCTGGGTGTTTGTCGAGTGCACGAACCAGACCGAGTGCGGGGGCGTGCCGCTGTACGATCCGAGCAAGTCGGCGACGTACACTGCGCTCAACTCTGCGGGCGACTTCAGCATTCAGTACGGCGTGGGCACGGCGGACGGTATCTGGGGCCAGGACGCGGTGTCGATGGGCGGGGAGAGCCACCCGAACACGACGTTTGGCGAGGTCAACCACTCGACCGAGTGGGAGGGGCAGGGCACGAACATTTCCGGTTTGATCGGGTTCTCGTGGCCCGGTGCCGGGTCTTTGATCCAGGACAAGGAGTTTGTGATGCCGCTGTGGTATGAGCTCGCGAAGAAGTGGGACAACAAGGCCTTCTCGATGTACCTGCAGCGCGAGACGGTGACGATGAACTCGACGCAGGAGATGGTGTCCATGGCCACGCCGGGGGGTGTCATCACGCTCGGCGGCTGGGACCCGACGTACTTCAGCGGCGACATCAACTTTGTCGACTTTACGGCGGCCGCGAAGCAGAATCTGGCGTACTGGCAGATCCCCGTCGAGGGCGCGTCCATCAAGGGCAAGGCGCTCAGCATCGGCGGGGGCGGGAAGGACATGCCGTCCCAGGCCGCGGCCGAGGTCATGTTCGACAGCGGGACGACCTTGATCCTAGGCCCCGCGTCGCAGGTGGGGCAGTTTTACGACGCGATCGAGGGCTCGTTCGAGTACCCCCAGCCGGGAAGTGGCAACTACATGTTTCCGTGCGACACGATCCCGCACTTCGACCTGAAGTTCACGTTCGGCGGCGTCGACTATCCAATCTACGACAACGACATGGTCGCGGCCTCCTATTCGCGCGAGTATCTGCAGTCCTTCGGGGGCACAGGGGACAAGTTCCGCGGCGCCGAGCACTGGTGCATGGGCGCGATTGCGGCGACGGAGGACTCAAGTCCGCCGTGGATATTCGGCGACGCGTTCCTGAAAAACGTGTACACTGTGTATCGCGCCGATCCCCCCAGCATCGGGCTTGCGCGCGTCAATGAGCAGGTCAACAATACGTTCCAGGGCGACCATCCCACGTTTGAGAAGCCCAGCAGTTCCGTCAGCCAGCCGCAGCCGGACAAGACGGGCACGGCCGCGAGCGGAGCGAGCGGCAGCGGCAGACAAGCCCAGCGCGTCCAAGACGGGCGCCGACGCGGGCAAGACGTCCAGCGCGTCTGGGGGCGGCTCGGGCAACGATGGGGAGAAGAAGGACTCATCGGCCGCGCGTGTCACCGTCGGCGCGGCCGTTGCGTTCGCGGCCGGTGTCGCGCTCCTGTTCTAGCCTATCCTTTTAGAGACACATTTTCATAGACTATCATTCCCTTCATTGTATCCCCATGCATCGTTTTCTATTTAGAGCGTGGGGGGCGAGCGCAGCGAGCTGAGAGCGGGGCGAGCGGGGCGAGTCGGGAGCTGAAAGCGCTGTGAGCTGAGAGCGGTGTAAGCTGGGCGGACAGTCAGCGGAGGGCCAGAATTGAGTTACGTGGTTGCATCACCAATGCGCAAGGAAAGAGTAACTTCTGACCGTTCGTTCTTGGCTTCTGACATTTCGTTCTATGACAACTATGATTCTATACAACTACAAGCGGGCCCATCTCGACGGCTCATACCGCACAACCTCCCCCGCACCCAACTCCCCGCGCCTGACCAACCCCGCGCTCGTCCTCGGAATAGCGCTGGCGAGGACGACTCCACGCACCCACTTGCTCTTCCTCGTGCGGCCCTGGACATATCGCATCACATGCTGGGCCACCCCCTCTGGCCCCTCTCCTCCAGCGTCCAGCACAAGATGCGCCCGTACGCCCTCCTCACTCCCAGCGACCGCCGCATCGCGCACATGTGGGTGGCGGAGAAGCAGCGCCTCCAACCGTTCCGGACACACCTGCGTGCCAGCGACGGAAAAGCGGTTCGCAATCTTGCCGTGGATGCTCCAGCGCCCGTGTCGAACGGAAGCTATGTCGCCCGTCCTGTGCCAGTGCCCCGTAGTCGACACACTAGGGCCGCGGAGGAGTAATTCTCCCTTGCCGCCGAGTGGGCCGAGCGGGGCGTCGCTCCCGTCCATCTGCACCAGGCGGGCCTGTAATCCTGCAGCGAGCGTGCCGACGGTAGAGTCCGGATCGTCGTTGTGCATCACCGCCAGACCGGTCTCGGCCGTGGCGTACGCGGGAAGGACACGCACAGAGGGCAAGGCATGCTCCACCCGTCGAGCGAGGGAGTGGAGGGGCGAGCCTGTTGAGATGATGCAGCGCAGGCCGAGTTCGCGCGCCTCCCCGTCCCTCGAGGCCAGTTTTGCGAGGAGAGCCGAGATGGCCGGTGGTGGGAGGAAGGCGAGGGTCGCTTCGCTGTCCTCCAACGAGGTGAGGATTGCGCTCGAGCTCGAGTGCGTGACCGCCGCGCCTAATGCTAGGGGGATGAGGGATGCGATGAACGGCGATCCCGGAGCGATGAGCGCGACGTCGCCCGGCCCGAGCTCTAGTTGAGCAGAGGAGAGTTGCGAAGTCACATTTAGGTGGGACAGAATGACCGCGCGGCCGGCGGGTGTATACAGCCTCAAAGCCGGGGACATTGAGGCCGCGCCGTTGAGCGACACCGGGTCGGATGGAGGGGCGAGGACGTCGTACAGCGTTCGATAGCGCTGTGGCTGCAGGTCGAAGGAGGTGCTGGGCGGGGAGAGCAGAATGACTCTGTCGTCTGGGATGCGGGGGTCGAGCTGCTGATTCGTCGTTTCGAATGTGGACAGGAGGGTCGGAGGGACGAAGACGATACTCGGCCGCGAGTCGGCTAGCTGGTGTCCCATGTCCACATCCGGCACCAAGGGACTGGCCACGAGTCCAGCAGCGAGCAGCGCGTACAGCGCGACGCTGCCCTCGATCCCCTCCGCTCGCACGATCCCCACATCCCCGCTCTTCACGCCCAATGCCCCAAGCCCAGCAGCCAAGCGGAGGCTCATATCCCTCAACTCTTGCCTTGACATTGTCCTCGATCCTTCGAGTATGGCGGGGAGGACACCCGAGTATGTTGGCATGGGACTGATCCCCTCGCACTTGGGGAGGAGGAAGTCGAACACGTTGATCTGAGCGAGGAAGGGCGCTGGACTGGGCGAGTCGTAGATCTTTACTCCCTCCTTCACTCGCTTTGGAGGCGGCGCTGTAGGCCGCGAGAAGTCAATCTCGGGCCAGTGGGATATCGAGTTGCGCCTGGACGCCGGATTCGAGGCCATCGTGCTTCGATCAGTCGATATGACGGGGGATGAGGTGGTGACATGCAAGATTACTGATTGCTGGAATGCCCGGCTGACACGCGTGTCCGCATCCCCCGGGGAAGGTACCCAGCATCACACAGTGGGCAAGCAAGTGTGCTACGCACACATGCCACTAGAGTCTGGTCAGATGACCAGCGTTCCCAGACGTGGTGCCCCAACGGGTCGTCCAATAAGCGGGGCGGGATTGGCCGGTTGCCCCATACTTCTCTGGTGATCGGCCCTTTATCACATGCTAATCTCGGGAGAACCGCGCTTCTCCTAATCACAGTAATTTGACTGGCAGCTCAAGTCTCTGCGGCTTACGTATGAGGAGCAGGAGCCTGCTCATAATGGACAGAAGAAGCATTAGTTGCGAAACTCATGCTGACTCTCTCGAGTTTCGAGATTCTCTCGGCTCACTGCGCTCGCCGCTCGCCGCCTGCTACGCGTACACTATGATACATGCAGTCTAACAAGATAACAACTTCGCGTGCACGGGGTGTTCTCGACACAGCGTGATACGACGCGGGATAGCTCTGCGGGCTTCCAATGAATCTGTAGGCTAGCATCTACGAAAGACATACACCCCTGGTGCATCATGCCCTCCGCTCCAGACGCTTCTTTGCCTTTTTGTTCTTCCCTCCACCAAACTCCATCTGCTTGATCTCCAGGATACGCTGGGCGTCGAAATCCTTGCCGAGCCAACGTACCAGGATCAGCGGCTGTGGCGGCACATAGTCCTCATTGACCTGGTGCGGCAGCGGGCGGTGCAGATCGGGGTGCAGACCGACGGGGCGCGCCTGCAAAGCGTGGAGGAAGTCGGGGTGGCGCGTGAGGTACTCCTCGACATGCACAAAGGAGCGCTTGCGCACGAGAATGTCCGCCATGCGCTCGCGGATCAGCGGCATCGAGCCGCCAGACACGACCCACAGGTGCTCGCACGGGCGGACGAGCTCGGGCTCGCGGCCAAGCTTGGCAGCCTCCTCGGTTCGCTTCGTGTTGATCTCCTGCTGCTGCTCCTGCACCTTGCTGATGAGCTCGCCGACAGACAGCGCAGTGCTGTCCTCGCCGTCGGTACCCTCGAAGGGGATCAGCGTGGAGATGAGAAGCGAGCCGTGCTGCATGTCCCACTCGCCGCCCCACATGCCGATGAGCTCGGAGCCCGCGGGGATCACGACATTCGTCTTCTTGATGTTCGCAAGCACCGTCGACATGTCGTCCTCCTCGGCGTCCGCCTGGCGGGCGTACTCCTCCTCGAGGTCGACCGTGCGGACAGTCCTTCGTGGTCGCGAGTGCGCCCATGTAAGCCCGAGCAGGCGCTTGAATCGGTTCTGGTCGACACCGTCGCCGCGGATCATAGCCTCGCGCGACGGCCAGCAGCGCTGCACAATGTCGTCGACGTCCTGGAAGTTGCGCAGAGGGTTGATGAGATGTGGGGGCAGATCGATCTCGAGCATTTCGGGAACGGCCAAGCGCGACAGCGTCTTCTCCGTCCACAGCGTCTTGCAGCGCGCGAGCACCTCCTTCAGCTGCTCCGGCGTAAAGTCGGTTGGTGTAACGTGTACTCCGATTTCTCGTGGCCGATCACCGAGGCGGCTGTGCGACAGCGAGCAAGTCTTGCGGCCTGGTTGGAACACCTGCTTCAACCGCCACTTGCCGATACCAACGCGCGGACCACCGCCACCGCCACAGTCCGTACACCTGGTTGTCAGTTGTCGCCTGTCAGACTTAATTCACCTCTGGTACTTGTTGTCGCAGGATGTGCAGATGATCTCAGCCATGTGGCTCAGCGACGTGCGCTCGGGTCCGCCAACGACCTGGCCGGCTGCGACAACGCGCTGACACACGTCGCAGAAGCACCTGCGCTGGGTGACGTCGTCGTTCACGAGGTCGTCGTCCTCCATGGCCGTGCGCATACGCTTCCTGGCTTCGGTAGAGCCGATCGAGGATCCCGTCGTCGTGCTGTTTGGGTCGAACATGACCGGCTGGTGCACACCAGAGCACTCGGGGCAACGGAACTCGACGTGGATGGGAGACGGGATCGAGGATTTCGGGGCACGCAGCAACACGCGGGCGACAGCCTTGCCGCACGTCAGACAATTCGAGTGCTGTTCTATCACCATCTTCTTCTCTCCACGAGGCTTGCCCCGCTTGGGCGCAGGCGCCGGTGGCGACTGGTCACTGTCCTCAGGAGACAAGGGGCGCTTGCCCTTGGGAGAGATTGGTGTCACAGGCACGCCGTCGGGTCCCATCACCCGCGTCACGTTGTTCGGGTGGCCATTCAGCATCATGAGGTCGTTGCCGTTCGGGATGAGGAGGTTTGTAGGGGCAGCGACACCAGCATTGTGCAGGAGCCCGTCGGCGCCCGTCGCGCCGTTACCAGTCTCAGGCAGCCATGAAAACAGGTTGTCGAGGTGATTCTCCTGCAGCATGGCCTCGAGATCGAAGGGCGTCATTGGTGTTGACCCCGGGTGGTGCGAGTCGTACTGCGCAGAGGCAACGCCGGGGTGCACAGGCATCGGGGCGATGATTCCAGGCTCGGCCTTTGGCGTGATCAGGGTTTCCGTCGTCGCCTGCTGGCCGTTCAGCGCCGGGAACGGCGAGAAGGTGCCCTGCCAGGATCCGCGGTGCTGGACAACCGGCGGTCGGTCCGTTACTGTTGCGGATTGCGGGGCGGTTGCGTTGGTGTTGGTCTGCGCAGTGACACCCGTGGTCGAGCCTGGGCCGGCCGTCGTCGAAGCAGGAGCAGCGGAGGGGGGAACACTGGCGCGGCTGGCGGCCTGCTGGAAAGGGCCAGCCACCTGGTTCAATCGAAGAAGTTCGAGTTCAGCTGCTCTTTCCTTGGCACGGGCCTCTGCGATCTGGAGTTCGAGAGATTTTGTTTTCAGTCGGATGAGCTCGGTCCACATCTGTTGTCGCTGAGGCGATTCGGCGGCCTGCGCAAGACCTTCGATGAACGGCTGGATCGGGTCCTCGTCCGCCTGAGACGCTGCTCCATGGGACGATGACGGTGCGCGGACCATGGTGATCGGTCCGCCGGCGGAGGAGGGTTGGAGTTGGCCACTGCCGCTCGAGGAAGGCGGGGGAAGGGGGATCTGATTCATGGTAGGGGTCGGAGTCGCTGGGTGCTGTGCGAGTCCAGCCTGGCCACAGTTGATCGCGTTGACGGCGACCTGGTGCTCGAACTCGCTGTGGATTGTAGATCTTCGTGACAATCTTCGGTGCGGAAATTGGGCGACGAGTCTGGGGTTGAAGAAGGAATCGTCGTGGGGTTGGCCACCGCCGGCTGAATGGGCGCGAGGGATCTCGTGCTGCGGCGATAGGGTCGGTGGAGGTTGATTCGTGGAGTCTGTCGGGCTGGAAGTGGGGAAGAAGATGGGCTGATGCTGTGAATGTTGTTGATGGAGTTGGATCGAGATGGGAGAAGGATGTTGCGGAGGAATGCCCTGTACGCTGTTCATGACGGCGACGTGGTGCTGGTGCTGGGCTGCTGCTGCCATCTGGGCCTGGTGAGCCTGCTGGGCCTGGTGCTGCTGGGCTGCTGCCTGGTGAGCCGCCGCCTGAGCCGCCGCCTGGGCTGCCGAGCCTGGGACGGCACCCGCGCCGGCACCAACGCCAGCGCCAGGTGCAGACGGCCCTGCAGCCGAGGTCGGGGATAGGTTGAGGTTATTTCCGGGCAGGCTCGCCGGAAGCATACCGACCACACTCACCCCGCCATGTGAGCTAGACACGCGCCGCTGCATAGTCTGGCCTGTGTTGGTAGTGGTGTCCGGCTCCGTTCACGCCGATGCTTGTCTGCTCCGTTCGTGTTCGTCCAAGCTCGAGCTCCGGCGCTCCAAGGTAGATCCTCTCGCTTGTCTTCTCGCAGTTCGGTATGCAGACAAGGCGTGTGCCAAGCCTAGCAGTTTCTTTTGTGTGTTGTGTGGGAGCCGCCAGCGGTAGTTTGGAAGCGAAGTGCGGGGTGCGCGGGGTTCCACCGGTTAGAGCAAGAGGGTCCAGAAGCGTCGGAGACACCGGAAAGGCTGATCAGCTGAGTGCAGTGACCAGCAGAGAAACGGAGCACACGGATCTGCAAAAGTGCTTTGCGTCGGCGAAGAGTCGATTGGCTGGGAATGCGGGGTAGATGTGGTTTGCGGAGGGGGAATAAAGCTGCCAGTCGAACAAAGCACTACAGTGGTCGGGGGGTATACAGTGATGACAAAGAGACTAGTGGGTGCGGGGTAGCTAGTAGTAGAGGGGGGGAGGAAAGATGCGACGTGAGATGGGAGTAGTGTTATCTATAGGTGAAGCTTGTCGCCGCGAGAAAGAGACCGGGTGACAGGACGAGTGTATCACCGGACCGTATGGACCGCGCCTGCGCTATGGTGCGTGTGATGTTTGAGGGGCCACAGGCCAGAGGTACCAGAGGACGAGATGAGAGCGGCGGCGGCACGAGCAGAGGCAGAGGCAGAGCGCGCGAGATAGCACACTAAACGTCTTGGGCTGCGCCAATGTGGAAGAGAGAGATGCGGCGCCTCGAGCCGGGGCACCTCGAGCTCAGGAGCGACGAGTATACGCCAGGAGCACAGCACAGGATCACAGGAACAGGGAGCGACAAGATGCATATGATGGCAAGAGGGCATGAGAGAGCAGGTGAGAGGGCTGAGGGGGGGAGGGATATACATGACTGTGTCAAGGAAGAGCAGAGGGAAATCAGCCGTTGGCTGGGCTGAGGCTGAGGCTTTGAGCCGTGCGCTATGAATCCATCCCCGAGTAAGACACCCAGGCAAACCCTCCGGCACGACCCTCGACCCTTGATCTCCGGTCTCTTTCTCATCCGAACCATCTTCCAACCATCCACCCACCATTCGGACATCCCTCCTCGTCCATTCATCCCCCCCCCCTTCTTATGAATTGCATGACGAGGTTGCTTGTGGATGAGGCCGTTGAGGGCTGGGCAGGTCTCACATCGACTCGTTCCATCTCTCCCACTGATGCATAAGACACCGCATCCGCTCTTCCTCTCCGCTCCGCAGCCTCTGCCGCGCCTGCCCCGCGTGAGAGCTTCCCTCCACTTCCACTCTGAGCGTAGCACCAACTCGCCGAGATGGTGACCTTGTCTGTAAGGTCCGGTCGAGGAACCCGGTATGACTGCGGATGAGATATACATGACTGTGTCAAGGAAGAGCAGAGGGAAATCAGCCGTTGGCTGGGCTGAGGCTGAGGCTTTGAGCCGTGCGCTATGAATCCATCCCCGAGTAAGACACCCAGGCAAACCCTCCGGCACGACCCTCGACCCTTGATCTCCGGTCTCTTTCTCATCCGAACCATCTTCCAACCATCCACCCACCATTCGGACATCCCTCCTCGTCCATTCATCCCCCCCCCCTTCTTACTATTTTCAGATCTCAGCCGCAAAACCCGACCTCTAACCGCCAGCATCCGCACGGCGTCTTGCTTCAGCCTCAATCAAACCAGCCAGCCTCCATCATCCTTGCTTCATGTCTGACGTCTTGACCTACTTGGGCACCTGACCTTCCTTCCCTTCCGCATCAGCTCACCCAAGCATGCCGCAAGACGTATCCTATACCCCGCACCACCTCGGCGGCGTCACAGAGCACCGCGTGTACCAGACAAAGCAGCGTCCACCAGCTGTGACTCTAGGTCTTCTCGCATTGCACGGGTATGCCGCGTGGCGTCTGTGGCAGGCGGACCTGAGTGTGCGGGCGCTCCGCTCTCTGTCGCACTGGGACTGGGCCGCCTGGCGGCAACTCGTTTCAGTGCAGTCGCTCGTCCTGGTCGTGTATCTGGTGATCCTCCTGAAAATCTCAGACCAGCTCGTTTACGGTAAGTTCCCCGGATCCTCACCCGGCAATTGGGTCTCCTGGCTGTCGACGGCCCCCCCGGATCCCCGGATTGCCATGTCGTCTCTAGCGCCTTTCTGCGCGCGTGCACACATGAATGCACGAGTACGTCATCTGGTAATTGCTTCGCGTTCGGCACACAACGCGTGCGCGCATCGATGCGCGTGCGAGCTTGTGGCCGAACCCTAAGCGGGCCTTCTTACCCTTCCGCACTGCGTCCGGGACCGGGTCAGCCAATGTTCCGCTTCCTATTTTGCGCGTTCTCGGAAGTGTGGAGTGCTTCTGGCTGCATTCTGGTTCCCGACTGCGTCGATGCTTCCGAACACACAGCCCTAGCGTGCCCTTGGCAGCTGACATCTGCCGTCAGCTGCCGGGGGCGAGAGGCAGCGGCTATGGCGGCTGCAGACTACGAGGTCTCGGTCCGCGCTCCGTTATCCGTGTCTAGTACAGATCCAGCTGACAGCCGCAGAGTCAGTCACCATGTTGCCAGGCCTTGGCGTGCAGGTCTCGGCGGTGTCGCGGCGCTTCTTCCGCCAGCAACGGCGAACATGCTTCGTGCCGTTGCGCGATGTCGAGTCGGTGATCATTCACGAGGGTCTCAGCAAGTGGAACGTCCACTACTACCTGGGCATTGTCACCGGCAAGGGCCAGCAGAAGGACGGCAAGGACGACGGTCGCATCTTAGTAGCATTCGAGGTGAGCTGTGGTGTTCTTTCTCAGCTGACATCAGTCGACACGGCCACCATTGGGTATCCTGAAACGCGTGTACCACGCCGTGAATGCGGAGCTTCAGAGCGCACCAAAGGCGGTCCCGAGCACGCAGCCCTAATTCTGCAGCTCCTGGAATCCTTCTCAACGACGAGCCCAGGGCATTGATCTAGTCTGTAACGAAGAGATCTCGTGCTCTGAATGGTGGGTGCACGGCCGCCTCGTTCCCGAACAAGGGCTCGCGGCGTGCTGGAGCGTGTTGGAGCGTGTGCTGGATCCTGCATCCTATGATCCTGTGTCCTGTGTCCTGGGTGCGGATTGCGGACCCCCGCCCGCAGCAGGCGGCAGCAGGCGGTCGCCGCGACCGGCAGCGGCAGCGGCAGCGCAGCCGAAAGACCCGTGATCGCCGCACGCTAGTGCGAGCAGCACATGCTGCCACAGTATTACGCAGCCATGCCTCGAAGCAAGAGTCCAGGTGAGCCTGTCAACGTAGAGCCGAGAGTGGAGTCTTCGGGTCTACCGGGCCTCGGGCCAGGGCCACATTCTGTGCATTTCGCGCTAGCACACTAGCGCCAGTGGTTATAGTGCAAGGTTGGGTGTAGCTCAGGTACACATGCATGTAAGATAGAGACATACCAGGAAAGTGGACTAGTGCAAGGAAGGTCTACAGGCCTACGCACGTCTTCCGGCTCGCGGCTCGCTTGCCGGGCGGTTCTGGCCTGCATCTGGAGCCTCCGACCGAAGAGAGGAAAGGAGCATACGACTGTGCACGGGCTTTGCACAGCGGCTTTGAGCCCTGGTAGCGCAGACTCTGATGCGGGTGTGCTCGGCCCCTGCCTTTGTGCGGGGCATGCTTCGGGGCCCTCATTGTCAGTCGTCCAGTAAGAGTGCAGCAGTATATCGAAGGTACTGCGCGACTGCGCGTCAGTAAGGAGCAAAGGATGATACGACTCTCTGCGCGGGGGCTGAGCACATGACACGAGCTGACCCTACCAGGCACAGATAACCGGTATCTAAGATGCCGGTGGTGGTCAGGATTTGCAGGCGAGTTGGCCGATAGGTACGGTACAGGTACGCGCCGGCCAGGACGGCCAGGAACTGGGCTGGCTAGGCTGATGGCATGCAAGGCATGGTGGCATGGTGGCAGGTACGCGCCAGGGCATGGACACGCTGAAGGACCAGAACTCCGTCCCACTCCACACCACCCAGGCTCAATAGCCACCCAGCAAAAGCACGAGACGCTCATCCCATCTCCGTGTCTGGCATGGTTGTAACCACCACCCGTCCATCTCGCGTCCTCGCTGCTGCATACCTCGCGTGCAAGGCTCACATTCCGCCAGCCCGCCAGCCCGGCCCCCCGTCACTCACCGCATGTAACCACCAGTGTCTGGTGCTCCGCTCTCTCCACCGCTTCCATCCCGCAATGCCAAGTCGCTTAACTATCGTTGTTCTCACGTTACGCAAGCCCACAGACGAGGGTGCGATCGGATCGCTGATCGGACACTGGCACTGAACTCGCGCTAAAGACGACTAGCACCAAGCTGTGACGAGGGTTAGTGAATTGCATGACGAGGTTGCTTGTGGATGAGGCCGTTGAGGGCTGGGCAGGTCTCACATCGACTCGTTCCATCTCTCCCACTGATGCATAAGACACCGCATCCGCTCTTCCTCTCCGCTCCGCAGCCTCTGCCGCGCCTGCCCCGCGTGAGAGCTTCCCTCCACTTCCACTCTGAGCGTAGCACCAACTCGCCGAGATGGTGACCTTGTCTGTAAGGTCCGGTCGAGGAACCCGGTATGACTGCGGATGACAGAGTAGACAATCCGGTGGCGGACACAAAGGTTTGGCGGGCTGGCATCGACGAACGAGAAATGGCGCTGAGAGGGGGATTGACTGCCAGGCCAAAACCGGCAAAGGTGGGTGTGGCCTATCATCGCGCTGTGGAGGGAGGTGTTTGAAGCTGACCCGAACAAGATGCCTGTGGGCGAGCCTGAGCCAGCCTGAGCCAGCCTGAGTCTGCCTGAATCTGGCTGAGTCTGGCTGAGCCGGCTGGAGCCTGAGACACGAGCATGTGAGAAGCATGTGGGTCGGGCAATGGGCCATACTCGCGGCCTTACTCGCTTTCGCTGGCTGCGGTTGGCTAACGGGGTGGAGTCTCCACAGGCCAAAACCCGGGGCTGAACCCAGGGTCGTCAGTCGGGGGCTGAGACTTGCTCACAGGTGCGTTGCTCGCAAGAGCCGGGGGGGTGGAGGGGCCGGACCGTGCCTCCGTACCTTCTCCATCTCTTTTCCTGCATTCACGCCTAGCATCGACTTCCCTGCATGAATTGGAAGGAGACATGAGCTTGGAAAAGAGTGCCAGTGTGATGAGTAATGATGATCAGTCAGCGTGTCAGCGTGCAGCGCGTTCCGGCTTCTTCTGCCGGCTTCAACAGGTTTGACAGGATATCAGGGGGCTATAGGGTGGAATCCGGGCCGTGAATTCCGTCACTTTCTCGTCATTTGCACGTCCGTGTCTATATGGATAAATCTGGGTAATATGGGTAAAAATCCCCGGCCGCCCTGGTCTTTGAGGTGAGGTTGAGCTCGGAGTCCGAGGTACTCTCTCACCGTTCACCGCTAGCTCCTGTGCTAGTTTCGCGGCGCACAGCGGAGTGCGGAGGACAGCGGAGGGAAACCAGGCGAGAAACACAACCCCGGCAAATGGGTTCGCAGGAACGGATACCAACAGGCTCAAGGTTTTCATTTGACTATCGGAGCACAACTTTTGGATCCTGAGATTAATATTGGGCAAACACTCCCTGCTCCCTGCCCCATGCCTGCGCGGCCAGTGCCTCAATGATCACCCCGATGACGACCGAGGTCGTCGGCCCCTCGACAAGGCTTACCCCTTCCGCTGATCTGTCATCGGCGAGCGCGAGCGGAGTAGGCAGTGCGGAGGACGCCGCTGGCGCGTGTAGGCGAGAACTGATACGCGGTAGCGTCGGTAGACTTTGAGTCTACTGGAGTATAGTCGACAAGGTTGGGACCAGTTCCAAAAGAAGCGCAAGTAAGAGCAAAGGTAGCTTACGCGGGCGATCTCGTTGCCGTAATGCTCAGACGTAAGGCCGAAACCTTGCACAATGGCGACATTGCACACCGTCGGGGAGGTTACTACCGGTTACTCCTTCTCTCGCATCTTTCGAGTTATCATTGAGGATGAGGATGATAACTCAGGCAGCAGTTGCGGGAGAACCAACATGCTGTTGCCCGAGCAAAGCACTGCTGCGCAGTGTGTCGCCTGACCACCCCTCTTCTCCCGTTCTGCAGTAGAGCAGGGCAAGGGGAGTAGTAGTGCAGGGCGAACCCCGCAGAGAAAGGACGCACGCAGCGCACACAACGCACACAACGCACACAAACCCGCACCAAGCGGCATCTGGGCTTCTAGCGCATCGCGCGACGCGTCCCGAACGTTCGGGGACGTCGGGGACCCGCCGGGGCTCACTGGCTCCAAGAGGCCAAGAACCGGGGATGCTGGGATCCCTATCCGGGTCATGTTCTATCATGTGATGGTCTCGGGGGGCCTGTGGTGGCCTGTGGGCCCCTGTGCTCGCCGCCATGTACCTGCCCAGAGAACGCCTGAGCCTCCTAGCACGGTCCAAGGACACGCCAGGACACGTCTGGGACACCCGCGTTCCTTGCGCGTTCCTCACATCGCACGTCGCAATAGCTATCGGTTGTTGTCGGTCGTGTACTGGAGTTCGGAGGTCCAAGTCCGGGGTCATCTTACGATCGCTTTTCGATGACGCTCGACACGGTCAGTCTGGAATAGTCGGAGCTCACGGCCCCTTGCCCTGGCCCATCGCACCCGTTTCTCCTTCACTTGCCAATCATGAACCCTGCGTTTGTACGCACACCAGAAAGAAACAGGGAACATCGTCAAGAGACGACAGGGAGCAAGGGGGTGGCTGCTGTATTCGTGGCTTGGAAAGGAGTGAGCGACCTGAAGCGAAGAGACAGGCGACTTTGACGACACACACGGACGTCACTCGCAGAGCACCGAGGGCGGTCGCGCCCTTTCTGCCCGCGGACGCCATCAGCTGTGCAAAAAAAATCCTGAGACTACTGACGGCGTGAAAAGGAATTGCTGCTCACTTCTGCTGCCTCACGTCCCGGCCGCGCCGGCCGGTGACACCCTTACCTTCGCTCGGAATAAATTACTGACGCTGAGATGAGCAACTCTTCGCTGACTCCGAATAAGAAATCGCTCAAGCCTGCGGTGAGGACGACAAACGGCTGATTCTATGCTGTGCATGCTGTGTTTGTGCTGATTTGCCGGTGTTCTTCTACTCATTCTGCCCGCTCACTCTCCCCCGCTCTGCCGCAATGCGCACAGACCTCCGGGCTTCTACCTATAGAAGCCTACGCCTCTCCGACACGGAGTCTCCGCTACTGGAACCAGGAAGCAACTGGAATCGCACCTATTCCACTCCTAGCGCGCCGACGATCACTAAATTGGCGGCTGCCTAGTCTCCTGTCTTAGCCTGCAGACCGCGGCCTACAAACGTCTCCCCCCTTTAGTCGTCATGGCGCTTAGCTCAACACGTAGTGTGACTAAGCCCCATAATTTCGGATGGACGATCTCCGGTGACTCAGAGACCTTCCGTGTTGATCTCGACGCCCTTCTGGCGGAGCAGGCAGTACTCGCCGTAGACACGGCCCTTCTCGCCAACACCCCAGGGGAACCAGAGGAAGCGGCTCCAAGGGCGGCTCGAAGCGGCGTCAAGGAACGTCGTGCAGAACTCACGGTTCCACGCGTCGTCGTGCACGTAGTCGGGCTCCTTCTCCGAGAACTGCTGCGACGGCAGCGACACGGCGACGAGGTAGTGGCACTGCTCGACGGGAAGGTAGGCTCCGGGCTCGGCGCTGGGCTCGTTCATGTCGTTGAAGCGACCAAAGTGGACAACGCGAGTCTCCTCGCGCGGCCAAGCGCCGGCGGGGCCGCTCGGGTTCCAATGACGAGGCATCATGCCCTCGCCGTTCGTCTGGATCCACTGCGTGTTGACGCCCTCGGGAACGAGGAACGATGACGGGAAGCGGTGCCACTCAGTACCGTAGCAGAGATTGATCGGGTGGGTCATGTTCTGCAGCGGCGTGAGGTCCCACTCGTGCTGGACGTCCTCGCCGCTCCTGCCCTCGCGGAGAGGAAGCGGCTCATAGCCCATGTCGGAGAGGACGTTGGGGAGCGTCGTGTACTGGAAGTAGTACGCAACGTTGAAGGGCGCCTGGTAGAACTTGAGGGTGGCGGCGATGCGGCCGAGCGAGATAAGGCACGGGAGCAGGACAGCGGCGAGCGCAAAGTTGGAGAACATGCTCGTCTGCGACGCACGGTACGGCGAGTGCGTCAGGTTGATGAACAGCGTCTCCTGCCAGCCCTTGACGAGGTAGATGGTGACAGCAGCGTTGAAGCACAGGAACGGGTAAATCGGGGACATGAAGCGCTCCTCCTTGTGCGGCTGCAGGCTCATGAAGATGAACCACAGGTAGAACGGCGCAAGGCGGATCGCGAGGAGCAGGTACGGGCTGCTCTCTCCCTCCTTCGGCTTCATCTGCGTCTTGCCGAGACGGCGGAAGTCAAACTTGTACGTGAACAGCAACGCCGGAAGTGCCACCAGAGCGGCGAGCGTCAGGAAGTTGAAGTTGACGAACAGGTTCGCGATGTACCAGTACCAGGGCTCGGTACCATAGAGATCAGGGCCACCCTTAGAGAAGAGGTTGTACAGGATAATGTTCAGCGTCGGGAACGTGTTGCGGCCGTAGGCCCAAGAATCGAACGCCGCCACGGGGATCTGTCTCATCAGCTGCTGTTCGTATTCTGCCACCACAGTGCCGAAAAGTGGGGGAGTGGTGACTCACCGCGAGGCACGCCGACCAGCTCACAGCGCGAATCAGCGTGTTCATCCGACCGCTGCCCCAGACAATGCGGTTCGAGGGGGCAACGATTTCACCGCCAGCTACAAACAGATACTCGAACACGAAGGGAAGGCCGAGAGCCGCAGCAAACGGCCAGCCGAGAATCGCCCCAAGTGCTGTGAAGAACGTCGCAAGGAAGGCGCGACGCTTGCCCGTGGGGGTCGACGTGGCGGGATGGAACCAGTAGGACGCAGCCAGCATGGTTGTATACATGACGAACGAAGATGGAATGAACGCTGCGGTTAGCTCAGGTGAGAAGCGCAATGAGCTTACCAGTCGAAGCGTTCCACATTCCGGCGCTGAACAGCATCATGAAGAACATGTACCGGCCAACGCGCTCGTTGACCTCGGTGACAACGGTGCGGAAGAACTTGGCCTCGGCGAATGAGCAGATCGCAGCGAGACAGATGCGGAGCGCGAAGAACTGCTGGCGCTCACCAAGTCCGAGAAACTTCGGGCCGAGGAAGGCGAACGGCCAGTGCGCGACAATGTACGCCCAGCTGCGCACAGCGTACTGCGCCGACACCTCCCACGTCTGCCATCCCGAGTTGTGTTGGAAGTAGTGCAGCGGCTCCCAGAAATTAAACACTGCGCATTGGTCAGTCGTCGCCACGGTTTCATAAAAGCGGCCCAGGCGTCGGGAGGAGGATCACGTCACCCTGGGACGCCCGGCTGGCGTTTCGGACCCACCTTCGTCGCAGTCGCTGATGATCGCATACATGGCGCCAGTAAAGCGCACGAGCATCAGGAGACGGAACGCAAACGACAGCGATGGCACGACGGGCCCGTTTCGTTGCCTGTGACAGGTCAGCTTGTCCTCCCATTGCCAAAGCTGAAGTGGACGTGAACCGTTGCAGCTACGCAGGACGTAGTCGCGAGCATGATGACGCCCGACGCTCCACACCACGACGGCTTGCGTTCAAAACTAACCGTCCAACCTGGTCCTGCAGCAGACCTTGGTGTCTCCGCTTCCATCCCGAGGGCGCCGCGTTTCCAAACTGGTCCTTCTCCTCGACCTTTGTCGGGCCAGCGACATTTGTCGGCCGCCTGAAGCGGATAGTTTCTGTACCGGGCATAGCCATGGTGGGCAAAGGTTGATCACAAGAGTGCGAGCGGTCCGCACTCCTTGGTTTGCGTGTAGAAAATGAGATAAGAGTGAGGTTTGAAGAGGAAGAGCGAGTTGCGCAACTTTGTGGACCTTGCGTGCCCAAGAATATCTGATTGGGGTCGGGATCTCAGGTCGCTGACGTCGGCTCACGTGGTTCAATCAAACAGGCGCACCAGCTTACGTGCGTACGCGGGGGGCGATAGGAGTCAGGCCAGCCAGGGTGGAGGGGCGGAGATTCAGGTTAAATCCGCCCATGGCTCAAGTGTTCGCTGTCGTGCGCGGTCCGAAAAGTCGTGAATTGGCCGGAGCGATAAGTTGCTCGTACGCATCGGACTTGTTTTGATAACGACAACAAATATACGACCTCGTCACCATGCGCTGGAACCTCTGGGGATCCAGCTCCGACAACTCAGAGGCTGGGCCGAGTCAACCTACCGACGCTGCCGCCCCGACGAGCTCGGAGGCTCAGGCCTCCACTTCGACGCCTGCCCCAGCTGCTCCGGTTCGAGCCCCGGAACCTCCCCTCTCCAAGTATGAGCGGGCACTGAAGGAGGAGCAGAAGCTCCAGGACGAGCAGTACCCGAACTACGAAGATATTCCTAAGTGTATGACCCTGTTGTGAGTCTTCCCCGAGCTACAATGAAGGGTTGAGCGGTAGCTGACCGACAGCGACGAGTTCGTGAGCTGCTACGCTTTGCTCCCGCAGATGCGCAACATCTACCGACACGGAGAGCTGCGTGACTGCTCGTACAAGTGGGACGACTTCAAGTACTGCCTGTCGCTGAAGTCGGAGGACAACGAGGAGCGCCGGCGGTTGTGGGTTCGGAGACGAGCGGAGTGGTGGGCCGCGCGGAGAATCGGCCCCAGCTCCGAGGACGTCTGGGACGTGCGAGAGTGAGTAGCCTTTAGGTAGTTGTGTACGATTGTTGCGCTAACCAGTTCTCAGGAAGCCTCTGGAGAACTTCCCGCCGCTTGTTGACGAGGATGCCGCCACGACCGATTAGACATTGCATAGACGTGTATGAGATGGATTATGAGATGACTTCTTGCACTGGGAGGGAGGTCACCAGTACTTTGCTCCGTTCTGAACAAGGATAGAGAAGCAGGGCTTGCACAGATCGGTTTGACGTGGGGCTCGTGGAGAGCTGGGGAGACTGAATGTTTTTGCGAGCATAGGCTGTAACGGGGGCGCAATGCTTCCTCTCAGCGGGGGCTGCTACAAGATCGGCGGCCACACGCAGTCAGCGCGTTCTCTCAGGAGGTGAGGAGCAATGCTTAATGCGATATCATTCTTCATGCACATCGCCCTCTTCCATGCATGGAAGAAAGCCCCCCACTGCAGCATGGACGCTGCAATCCACAGCTTTCGAAAGGTCGACGCCGAAGCGTTTCGGCTTACGCCGAATCCCGAAATTGGATAAGCGCCGTCGCCTCCGCGCTGCGACCAACGGCGGTCCAAGTCCGGTGCCTCCGTCAACTTGACCTTCCTTCCTCCCACTCTCTCTTCCAGTCACCTCACTCCGACCCGCCAAGATGCCCGAGGAGCACGACCCCACCGCGCACGTTATGGACTACCCCGCGCTCGACCTGGGGAACAAGGAGTGCTCGAAGACACACGTCGCCATTGTCGACTTGGATGTGTTCGTCTGGGGCCTCGAGGAGATCAAGGACAGCAAGCTGCCGATAGCCGCTGTTGTGAGTAGCCCCGGTCTCTCTGTTCTCGCTTCTGTGGCCTTCAGCTCTCGTGTCTAGATCGTGTTAGCTGACCCCAGATCGCCTCGCATGGACGGTGCAACAGCGCGAAGAACATGGAGCCGTTTGCGCGCGGCCTGCTCGCCGAGGCCAGGGAGCAGGAGAAGGCCTCGGGACGGAGGAAGATCCGCGACCTGGTCGTTGTCACTCTGGTGAGTTGCCGGGTTCCTTGCTAAGCTGACCCCAGGACCACCGGAACCACGGCCAGCGCACAAAGTACCGCGACACAAACCTCGCCTACGACAAGAACTGGCACCACTTGTGAGCTAACGGACCGTCTCTGTAGCTGATAGCGCAGTATTGACATGGCGGCGACGATCTGTGAGCTTATCTTAGCTGAGCGACGCTTCTTCAGAAAGCTGACATCTCAGACGGAGCGACGCAGGACTATGACATGATCATGAAGTTCCTGAACCCATATCTCTTCCCCAAGGGCGAGCGCGAGATCACCGAGTGGATGGCAACGGGTATCTCTCTCGGCGGTAACACGGTCTGGCGCCTGCTGCGAGAAGGTATGCTGTCGTTTGCCCTTCAAGCTGACTCAAACAGACCCGCGAATCCGCGTCGCGGTGCCGATCATCGGTCTCCCCTTCGAGGCCTTTGGGCCGTACCTCGGTGCGCGCGCCGTGCAGGGCGGGCTCGACTTTGCCCCGCCAATCTACCCCGCCACGCTGCGGCCGTACATTGAGAGCCGCGAGCCGGAGAGCGCATACAAGGACCGCAAGATTCTGTCTATCCATGGCGAGATTGATGAGCTCGTCCCGTACCGCTTTGGAAAGGACAAGATTGCGGAATTGAAGAAGAACGCGCCTGAAGGACATATCGAGGTCTTCGTCCAGAAGGGCAAGGGACATGTGTGCACGCCCGACATGCTTCGGAGGGCGGCCGAGTGGTTCTACCGCTGGGGCTGCACTGAGCCGTAGAAGGTTCAGAAGTTGCACCGAAATAGAGTAAAAAATGCATGCAATAGAGAGTGCGCGGAAAGACTACTATGGGGGTGCAGAGGGGAAGGGGGGAAAGGGTTATGATGATGCCGGGGTATGCTTGGCCTGGAGGGCCTCGAGCTTGCTGATCGTCCGCTTCAGAGTCAGGATGGCGCCCATGGTGAGCGAGCCCATTGCGTCCGCGTTCCACATCTCGGCCATCTCGTCGTCGACGTCCTCGCCGCTGTCGCCCTTGTCCATGAGGCGGCGGGCGTGCGAGATCACGCTCGCGAGCCGTCCCCGATCGTAGTACAGGTACTTGATCTCCTTCTCGAGACCTGTTGGCGGGTTGTCGAGCGCGGTGCGCACAAACGAGCGCGAAAGGACGTACGCCTTCTCGCTGTACAGGCGCGAGTTGATCCGGCCCTCGCGCGTGCCCTCGAGCTTGGAGAAGGCCGGCTCGCAGTGGTACGGGTTCTTGACGAGGACGAGACCACTGATCGACACGAAGACCTGCAGCAGCGACGACTTGGTCGGGTTCCACGACTCGCTCTTGTCGCCCGCCCACGTGCCGAGGATACTGAGGCACACCTTGCCCTCCTCATAGAGGTTGGGGTTACAGCGGCCCAGCCCATTCGTGTGCGAGTGGAAGTAGACCAGTGGTGGCTCGTACGGGAACTTGGACGGGTTCAAGTACACGTCAAACACGAAAGGCGCATCCGCGTATGGCGTACCCTCTGGTCCCACAATCAGGACACGCATCAGGTCTGTCCGGTCCTCGTACGTCCGCACGAGAATGTTCTCGGGAAGCGAGGAAGACAGGGCGCGGTGCTCCTTCATCAGACGCGAGGTGAACTGCTTGTGCGACTGCTGCCGCCCCTCGTTGAACCAGTGGTGGTCCGCAGGGGCGGTTTCGAGAATGCCGAAGGAAGCCCAGAGGTCGTCATCGTCTAATGGCGGACGGGCAGGAGCAGAAGATGAGGAGGGCCCAGCGTCGGCGGATGCAACGGGTGCAGGTGCAGCAGCTGGCGGAGGCGAGGGGAGGGTAGGCGTTGCGATCTCGGCCGACTCGGGAGGCGTGACACTGTCCTCGACCGCCTGAGCGTCCTCATCGTCCCAGTCCATGTCATCGTTGTGGATCACATCCTCTGCGGGAATGACGACGTCGCCAGCGTTGTCCACGTCCATGAGTGTCTCGAACTCGGTGTCGGCCGTGTCGGCCGTGTCGGCCGCGTGACCATTGGGCTGCTCGCCGTCGTCCCAGTTGCTTCCAGGGTGGTCGTCCTCGGACATTGTCTCCCAGCTGTGCTCGCTCACGAAGCTGACGTCGTCCTCGACCCACTCGCCGTTGTCGGCGAAGCCTTCGGGCTCATTCAGCACGATCAGCTGCTTCAGTTCCACCTTGCGGGTCTCGCCGTTGTACAGTTGCACGCTGACGGTACCGTCGAGGTGCATGTCGACAACCTCGCCCCACCAGTCGACCTTGGATTTGTCGCCCTTCGGCTCGCCCTGGCCGAACGCCTCGGGAGAGGTACCGTACTCGATGCCGAGTCGGTGCATTTCCTGCTTGTAGCGCTCCTTGTCGTCTTCCGGGCACTCGGTGACACCTAGCGCAGGGACTTCCGGTAGCGGTGTCTCGTTATCGCGGCAGAAGAGTACGTTTTGGCCGAGGCCGACGCCGTAGTTGACCTTACCAAAACCACCAGTGTCAAGCTCCAGCACTGAGACAGTCTCCTTCTCTTTCGTGTCCAGATCCAGGACCTCGGCGATACGTTGCTTCGGGTTGTAAGACTGAACGATGACCGGTTTGCGCTCTCCGGTGTCAGAACGCCAAACGACAGCTTCTCCTGGCCAAGCCTCGTAGCTGATTGTCAGTTCCCGTTTCGAATTGCGCAACTCACTCGTCCACATTCCTATACGGAACAAAGCCGGTGGCGTACTCGTCGGTCTCGGTGCCATCTTGCCACCGCAGCTTGAGCTTCGTCCTGTTCTCAACGACACGGTAAACCTTCAGAGGCAGAGTGCCCTTCATGTGGTACGTCGGCTTGACGCCAAATCGCTTCTCGTCCTCCTCCTTGCGAAACACGACCGTCGTGCCGAGCGGGGGCGTCAACTGGTTGACTCCCTCGAAATGTGTTAACTTCTCGAGCTCCTTGCCACACCAGAACTTCTTCGGCTCCGGGTGCTTATCGTGCTCAGATATCGGAAGCTGCAGGTTAGCGTAGGAAGGTCATTACAACCTACCATCTGGTTGAGAGCATTCCAAACGATAAAGACGATAAGAGGCCGAACACTGATGACCCGGTCGGTTTCCGGGTTCGCAGCAGGAGGGAACTCGCTGAATTGCTGCATGAACTCGACCTGCTCGGGGAGAACTTCCTGATTGAGTCAGCTATATGAGCCGTTTTCACGAAGCTCACCTTGGCGTACCGTCCGGTTTCCAGCAAGCCGCCCATCTCCGCTATTCTGTAGATGGTTCCGTCCCGCGCCTCCAGATGTCCATCTTCGAACACCTGTACGTTAGCAAAATCCTCCCCAGAGCCTTACCTCTTCGACGGTTCCAACCCATTCGTCGTAGACGACCTTGTCTTTGGCCTCCACTTTGACGTCGTTCTTGAGCAGCTCCCAAGGCACAAAGCCTTCGAGCCGCTGACCCGAGATAACGTGCTCTAACCGGCACTCGGAGGAGACGCTGATAACGACGGCCGATTCCGGGTCCTCCAGAGAGTGCTTGACAAAGTCGCCCTTCAAGAATGATCGCTCAAAAAGTTCCAAGTCGAGTTCGGACACGACCTGGATATCGCCGTTCTGCAAGCTCCTGGATTGTCAGCTAGGACAATGGCAATGACAGCAGCACTTACGATACAAGAACCTCTCCTCTCACTAGAGCTGGGGGCTCTCCATAAATAGGATCAGGCGGAGCATCCTCGTCTGCCCAGCCACGCTGCTTGTCAGTTCAACGTTTGGCCACAGCTAACTCACAATGACTTTGCCGCGGTATGAGGGCTCGGCCTTACGCGAAACAACATCTCCGTGGAAGAACTGCAGGGTCAGCAACCTGATAACCGAATAGCAAGCAGGTGTCCAGCAATATCTCGAAAGTGTCATCCTTCGTTCTGAAGAAGTGGCCGTCAATGCTGACCACGCTCTGGCCACCAGCCTTCCTTCTGTGGTCCGCTCTCGGTCTTGCCCGGCGCTCTTCGAAGGCAAACGCGGAAGGTACTCACCTTGGAGGTGAAGTCGTCGGGAAGCCCGGGAAGCGACCTTGGTGGCGCCATTTGTGTGTTTCCCTCGTGAACAGTAGAGTAGCCAGGTGACTGCCGTGAGATGGAGGATGAAGATGCGCGTGCTTACAAGCGACGCCTGATCAAGTGGACATGAAATCCACCAGGAACGGGGGCAAATCCCGCACCGTGTTCCTATTCCAAAACAAAACGGCCAAGCGCGCCTGGCTAATAAACGCCTAATGAGATGCTAATGAATTGGCCACGAGGCAGCACGCCCATTTGAGTTGCGGGCTAATGCCTTCTCAATACCTAACGCTTCGTCAGGATGAAACCCCAGTCCTCACCTGCTCGGACGAGCGTCCTTCGCTGCAAAGAGTGGGCCCCCTCTCGTGGCAAACGCAAGCGTCTGCACTCATACGTGGATTATGTGCATATTGCAATCATTTCTGCAGCCTCTGAGTAAGCTCGCCACTTGTTGTCAAGAGCACCGTCCCCTGACACACATTGCGCCAAATTGAGTCAATCTGAAGCTTGACACAAGGTGCGGAATTGCCGGGATGTCCGCTGCCGCACGCCAGATAAGATGTTGTGACGGGAGCAAACAGACGCGGCGGCGGCGGCATGACGCGCTGGTACAAAGCTATGATCGCGACGACACCATCTGACCTCTGACGTACAACTTCACCACGCCGAGCATGTCCAAAGACGTGTCCAGATCGCCGCCGAAGCCGCACGTCGCTGCCGCGGTGAACACGCCCCAGCGCCGCGTCCTGTCAGGGGAGGGTCCCAGCCGGCGGCCAACGGTACTTTCGCCAGCCTATGTGAGTGTCCCAGAGCTGAACTTTAAGGCCATAAGCTGACTTCAGACTTCACGGAGACACAGTTTATATGGAATAGATGACCGAGTCGTCATCGAGTGAGTCGACACTGTTCGGTAGCTACGTGGAGCGGTCAGCTAATAGCGTCAGTCCCGGATCACGAGTTTGGAAAGCTGGCTTCTCCGGGGAGCCGGATCCACGAACATGTTTCTGGGCCTGCGACGAGAAGTACCCCGGCGAGGCTTGGGGACTCGACATTTCCTACACACCAGGATGCCGCGGGAACCGAAGTGAGGGAAGACGATTAGTGCGAGCACGAGTTGAGAAGCGCTTGAGGGAGGTGTTTCACAAGTGAGTACCGCATGTCGTTCAACGTAGGGCGTGGTCGTAGCTGACGCGGCAGACACCTTCTGACAGATGGAAAAGCACGCAAGGTGATCGTGATTGAGAGCACGTTCCTGCCGCAGCTCGTCAAGGAGGAGATCGCCCGCGCCCTGTTCGACAACCTGAAGGTGAGCTTCAGCCACTCGCGGTAGCTAACGCCAGGCGCCTAGTGTTGCCTTCACCCCTTCCAGTCTTCTCGCTCTAGCTGCGTGCGGCAGAGTTACGGGTCTTGTGGTGGACTGCGGATGGCTGGAGACAACAGTCACTCCGGTGAGTCCGCAACGATAAAGACGTAGCTAATGGCAGGTCTATGCGTCTCGGCCCCTGTATCACCTGGCCAAGTCGAGTCCGATGGCAGGCCGTATGCTGCACACCAGACTGCGAGCCCTGCTCCGCCACTTTGGACAGTATCACTCCCCTTCACCAGAACATGCCGCCGCGAAATACGTGCCTCGTCACATTCTGACGGACACGCTCGTGGAGCGTGTGCTGACGGAAAGCTGCTTCCTGAACTCTTCCCCGCCTGCTCCTTCCGACCCCATGGATGTCGACTTCCAGCGGGACGAGTCATCGCAGGACGAGGCGCCCGCAGAGGTCACCCCTGACATGGACGACATGGACCTCATGTTCGCGCTCGAGGAGCGGTACTCGCAATCGACCGCCAAAGACTGGACAGTGACTCTTTCGCCGCGTAGGGGCAGCGGACGATGCGCTGTCCTCATCGTCCCCGGGTGGATTCGAGAGTACGTCGCAGAGGTCCTCTTCGGCGACGGTCCCAGCGAGGAGTACTCCGTCCCGGAGATCGTCCTGCAGACGCTACGCGGCCTCCCCATCGACACGCGGACAGAACTCGCGTCGTCAATTCTCGTGGCCGGAGGCACGGCCAGCCTACCGGGTTTCATCCCGAGACTACGAAACGACATTATCCGTCTCCTTCCTCCAGGGGAGCTGGAGCAGCAGTCGAACGATGTGCGCGCTGAGGCGGCTGAGTGGCGAAAGCGGAGCAAGGACAAGTACGCCCACCTTCACGGCCTGGGCTCGAAGATCGCGATCATCAACGATCCGGCACCTGGACCGAACAAGAGCAGCGGATCCGCTCCTCGTTGGACGCCGGCGTTGGTGCCCTGGGTCGGAGGGTCGCTTGCAGGGTGAGTTGTGGTCAACCCGTCGATAACTGACATCAGAATCATCAAGACAGGAGCACCCGAGATTCTCCGCGAAGACTACGACCAGCTGTGCAACGAGGACGAGGAGCGCGGTGTTGCCTTCGGGGCCATGGTCGAGGAGAGCCGGCAGGGAGCGCCTGACCCCAAGGTCGGACTTGAGCTCTCCGAGTTACGGCCCGGCATGGCGACGGGGCCGATGGCGAAGCGCAAGTTTGGGTGGGAGTCCGAGGTGCTCCCAGACTGGACAACTGTGCGTGTGCGTGCTGGGGCGTGAGAAGCGTTTGCGTTGTCACTTGTAACACAGACCTTTGTATGAAACCTGTGACTGGACCGGAACTGTCGAAGCTGGCGTGAGCAGGTGATAGTCAGGCACGGCTAATGTCGAAAACAACACGCCAACCGCTTTCCAGCACCGTTCATCACAGCCTCGTATGTCTGTCGCGCAATGGCGAGTGTTCCCGCAGACGGAGGCTGTCCCGCAGCCACAATGGCGGTCGCCTTTCCGGGTGGCGTCCGCTGAGCGATACGAAGTCATCAGTGGACGGACGAACGAGAGGGCGCCGGGAATCAGGCGCGTTATCGTGTTCCACGTCCACCCTGTGCTTCTCCCTGTCGTCCGGATCCATCCCTGAATCAGGTGTGTCAGGCACGGGTGGTACCAACGGTGAGCGCAGCCCGTCCCACCCACAAGTTGGTGAAGGCACCATTGTCAGAGCCAGAGAGCCAAGCTTTGCTTACTCCAATTTATTTTGCGGTCCTGCTAATCTTCTGATTGTGTTGTCTTCTCCACTTTTCCTCGACCTCTCAACTTCCACCTCTCCTGCTCGTCCTCGCCACCATGGGAGACGACAGTAACGGTCACCTGTCGCCGGACGGGGCCACGACGAGGTCTCCGGCATACCGCCGTCCGCGCGCACCGAGTGCGCCGGTCCGTCCGCCTGGGCGTCCGAGAGGACTGTCTTCCTCCTCGCTCGTGTGGGACGGATACGAGCCTGACCCGGCACCGCTGCCTGACGACGTGTATCCCCGCGTGATACCGAAGCGGCACCGCACGATTGGGTTCTACATCGCGCTCATTCCCATTATTGGAATCTGGGCCATCACGCCGGCGTCCTAGTGAGTCTTCCATGTCACCTTGGAACCTCGGCTGGGCGTAGAGGACGTGCCGTAACAGTGCGATTGTGCGCACTATGGGCTCGCTTATCAACCCTGATAAGGATGTGCGCGATGACCGTGCACACTTCGGTCCTCCCTCGCCCATGCTACCTACGGCTCACAAAGTCTACTTGAGCTGACAACAGTGTCTACCTTGCGTGGTACGTGTACAAAGGACGACACCTGCGTCCGTCGACGCTGAAGACGCTGGCGATGTACCTGCTCGCGATCTGGTCGGCAATCGAGGTCGTCTTCTCATGGTACTATCAGTGGCTCGCGCACAAGGTGCAGCCCGTCGCCCCGCCATCGGAGATGAAGCACGACGACCTGTCGAACATCTTCATCCGCCTCCTGCGCGCCGGCGCGGCGTACGCTCCTCGCAGACCCGAGACGGATTCGGACTGGATCCTGTCTTCGCCGACGCGGCCGAAACATCCCCTGCGCAAGCGCGGCAAGCTCAATTCGGACCTGCACGTGCCGACTCTTGCGACGCTGAAGGAGGGCCAGCAGCAGGCAATGGCCGACCTGGAGGCCGAGATGGACAAGGCGGACAAAGCCCACAGCGAGTATCTCTCGGACGAAGAGGATGACGACCCCCTGTTCACACCGGAGGGCAAGCCGATCGAGCTGGAGTGGGACGACCCAAAGGCCGTCGAGTTCCGCGAGCAGCTCCGGACATGGTTTCACCACGTGCCGTGGGAGACGATCGGGCGCGACGACGTGCGCACCTGGCTTGCGTGGAGCTGCTTCGCGATGCCGCTCGAGGACGTGCAGAAGGACGCGAAGAAGTATCGCTTCCTCGAGCGCACGGCCGACATGCTTGAGGCCAGGACGGGGGGCAAGTTCCCGCCCGGCCGGTGCGGGTGCCAGATCATGCGCCTGACGCTGGACCCCGTCAATGTCGTCTCCCGCCCGTTCCTCATTTACGCGATCGCCAACGTCGTCAACTGGTTCCTCCTCCGTATCTGGTATCCGCACAAGGGCGCGACGATCTACCAGGAGGACGGCATCGACTTTGTCGTCCGTATCCCCGAGGGTTGGACGCCGGAACGCGGGCGCACCGAGCCCAACGCCATGCCCATCGTGTACCTGCACGGCCTCGGCTTCGGACTACTCCAGAACCACCTGCTCGTGAAGCACCTCGTGCACTCGCTGCCGACGCACCCGATCCTGATGCCTCTGGCACACCACACGGCACAGGCAATTTTCGACCCCCGATTCCTCAAGCCGTGGAACCGCCCCCAGCTCGTCAGCACGCTCGTGAAGGCGTGCGAAAGGTGGGGGTTCTACGACCCCTCCAAGCCCGAGGGGCAGCGCGGGGGCGTGTCCATGCTCTCCCACTCGAACGGCAGTGTGCACCACGGCTGGGTCCTAAAGGACGCTCCGTGGCTGGTGCGGCGGTCGTGTTTCGTCGACCCCGTCGTCTTCTCCCTGTGGGAGGGCGACGTGTGCTTCTCCTTCGTGTACCGCAAGCCACGGACCGCGCTCGAGGTGCTGCTCTACTACTTTGTGGCCAGCGAGCCGGGCATCGCAAACTACATCCAGCGACACTTCAACTGGTGCGACAACACGCTCTTCTTTGACGATATCCCCAACGCAAACGACGCAAGCAAGACCGCCTTCTTCATTGGCGGCAAGGACATCATCATTGATGCCGCGCGCACAAGGCGGTATCTCGAGCGCAACGGGGTCAAGAAGGGCCTGCACTGGGACGCGAACGGAGGACACGGCGACGGTCTCCTCGGCGACTCGAGAGATCGTGTCGTCATGTTCGTCGGTACTGGCAACACGCGCGGGTGGGAGAACTGGCTCACCCGCGGGCGCAGGAGCCACTCGCTTGGCCAGGCTGATTTCCCCAAGATCCGCACCGCGCTCGACAGCATCCAGGAGGCATCGACATCGGGCTCTGACAGTGAGAGCACGATGCGCAAGCGATTCTGAGTTTCTTGTTCCCTTGCTCTGCATGTATCCGATAGAATAGCTAAACCACAACTAATGCATAGTATCACTTCGGTATGTCTTCTTGATCGCGATGCTTCGTTCTACGTCTTCTACAATTGGTCTACGTGTCGTGCTCTACGCGCACGCTTAGGTGCTGAACATGCGGTCGCCGGCGTCACCGAGGCCAGGCGAGATGTATCCCTTCTCCGTAAGCTCGTCGTCAATTCCACCGATGAAGATCTGCTGTCAGCTTCGCGCCGGTTCGCGTTAGCTCACCTCCACGCCGGGATACTCCTCCTGCACATTCTCAATACCCTTCTTGCTTCCCAGGATCGCGACGATCTTGATCTGCTCCGGCTTCAGCCCCCACTCAGTCAGCATGCCGAGGGCGGCAATGGCCGTGCCACCAGTTGCAATGAGGGCTGCACGTTAGCTCATCGTCAAAGGGCTTTTAGCTCACGGTCAAGGAGGTACACGAGGTCGGCGGTGCGTTTCGTCGGCAGCTTCGAGTAGTATCTGATCGTCAGCTTTGCTGAGCAACGAGGAGCTCACTCGACGGCTTGCAGTGTCGTCTTTTCGCGGAACAGGCCGAGGTGCAACACAGTCGCATCCGGGAAGTAGTCGAGGGCGGCTGCACGTTAGCTTCAGTCACCCCCCAACAGCTTACCGTCAGTCATGCCGATGCCGGCGCGGAGGATGGGCGAAATGCCCACGCGGGTGCCGACCGTCTTGCCCGTGAATTCGGTGATGGGCGAGTGCAGCTGTGGGTCAGCTTAGCTCTCACATCTTTTCCAGCAAATGGAGCCACCAGGAATGAGCATCGTCGGCGGCGAGGAAGGTCACCCCCGCCGTCGTTGCACGGTGAGCAAGCGAAACACTCACATTCGGGACATCGGTCAGAGGGACGGATGCCGAGGCCTCGTACATCAGCAGCGAGCTGGGGTCAGCTCATAACCTGCACTGGACAGCTCACGAGAGGGAAGACACCTCGCTGCGAAAGTCCTTTGGGGAGAGGTCGTGCAGGCGGAGCTGCGTCAGTTTGACGGCGACAATGGGATGGGAGGAGACGTGGACTGCCATTGTTGCGGGGTGGATGGGCAGTCAGTGGGACGGAGGCAGGTAGTCAGATGCGAAGAGTAAGGTGAGAGGAGGGAGAGAATGATGAAGACGACGACGAGGACATATGAAGCAGAGAGGGGCGCCCCCCAACGACAACCCGTCCCCAAGCGGCAACCCGGCGCCGCATGATTGCAGCTATCAGCTGACGCACGCTTCCTCACTGGCGGCTGGCTGGCTGGCTGGCTGTGTCACTCTATCAACACAAGGGGACGGACGCAGATACGACGCGAGGGACGCGAGGCATGCGGGGCATGACGCGGTGGCAAACATCGGCTTCGTCCGAGATAAGCGCGCACGTGGGGTCGATGCCCTGTCTGCCCTGGGATACGTCCATGAACCCTCTGGTGGGCACACAAGCTCACACATGCACAGGCAAGACCCCGACGTAGCTGATAGCGCACGTAGGACAGCCCGAATCCTATCAGGAATATCACCGGCACACGTTGCAGACGTATCGGAACGACGGTCAGTTGATATTGGACGCTCTACCGGCGGATCGGCGATCTGTGACTGGCTAATAGCTGAGTTTCGCGACGAGATAGCTGCGTGCATCGTATATCTAGAACCCCTGCCTCGGCGCGGCTGCCATAGCGTCTCCCTTGACCTTGTGGTCTGTCGGTCTCGGCGCCGCCTCATACACAATCTGGCCGAGCGCATTCGGTAACGGCCGCCAGCTCCCCCTCAGACCGACATAGTATACTCTCGTCGTCTCGTCGTCGTCGCCCTCGGAGATGTTGTGCGGGAAGAAGAGCGCGAGGCTGGTTACGCTGGCGAACTTGGCAGCCCTGGTTGTCAGCTCTACTCAGCCCCCAGCGTAGCTCGGGCAAAAGGAGGAGAGACGACTCACTTGACCTGGTACTCGGCCGGCTCTCGCGTGTCCACCACCTCGAAGGTTTGCGTCGGCTCCCGGTCCTCGGCGTCTGAGAAGTCCAGTCCGGCGCCGTTCGCAAACTGGTGTCAGCTACATGCAGTGCTTCAGCTGGGACGTACCACGCGCATCTCATTCGGCCTGAAGTCGCCGAACGCCTTCAGCGTGATCGAGCGGAGGGAGACGGATGCGGTGAACGGGACTGGTGTCAGCTAGTGCTGGGTTCGGAGAGCTTACTGTGGAGAATTAGTGAGTCATCGAGCTCGGACTCGAGCCACTGTCTGTTAGCTGCCAGGAGGGGAAAAACAGCGTACAATCGTCTCGTCGTCTCGGTTTGCCCAGTCCCTGTTGTCAGCTTGCACTTCGGCTTCTAGCTATGCGTTGTGCGTTCTGGTATACCGGAAAGGCCAGAAGCCAGAAAGGGTTCAGAACTCACTTGATAACAACCTTTCCCTTCTCTGGTCCGCCATCAGCATTCAGCGCCCGCACGTGCTCCGTGTCGACAACCTTGTACAGGCTATCCTGCGGCCCACTCTCGAGCGGGATGTCGTGGTCGTGGTCCTCATGGCACTCGTCGTGGCACGGCATGATGTCTGGGGGTCAGCTCAAACGGAATCTGACAGCTCACCTTGAATGCAGTTGATCGCTGTTATTGCAATCCTATCAGCAATTCCTTCCCTCGTCCCAGAGTCAACGGACGACCTCCACCAGCCTGAGCGCTGAGCGGCGGCACTTGCATCATCGTCACTGTGCGGCTGCCACAAAAGCTTCCGCCTAACCCCGTCTCCCTCCTCAGCTTGCCTTCCCACGGTCGCGCCCTTCTCGGATTTCCACTCCTCGCCGCCCGACGACGAGCTTTCAACCCGCCGCCTAGAAGGTCGACTGTAGCATAAACCACCCTAAAAACAAACAATAATGTCCGCCCCCGCCCCCTCTGGAAACGCGCAGCCCCTCTACCTTGGCCCGAGCGGCAAGGAGGCCGAGCCCCAGGGCTTTGTCTCGTGGTTCTGGAACCAGCAGGTCATGAACCCCGAGTACCGTGAGGGCAACATTGGGTGAGTTTTCTTTTGCTCCGAATCGATCGACAACGACGTGAAAACAGAAGGCGGAAGGGCGCGGAACGATGGCGATGATTAGCGGAAGATTACACCGAGATGCGGGGTGACGGTCTTGAGAAGGAAGGCAGGATGCGGATCGCGAACAAACTCGGTCGGAACGTTGGAAAGATTGTCGGAGAAGCGCTCATCAGGCGATGTCTTCTCTGATCATCGCTCTTTGTGACCGAACATTCTGAGCATCATGTTTCCTGGACCGTTACTGCGCTGTATCTGCGATTCGAGCTGCGTATGCTCTGTTCAGCGAGATCAGCGAGACCGACAGAGGAGGCGCACTTCCATCCCAGCTTCCAACGCCTTTCATCGAGTAAGCTAACAACCAGCATCGCCCGCGCCGTCGCCCTCTTCGGCCTCGGCATCCTCTTCGTCCGCTCGGACATGAGCGCCGCGATCCTCCCCGCCATCTAAGTGACTAGCCGTGGCCGCCTGGCTAAGTGTGAGTATTCCCCCAGCTGCACTGCCCGTTTCGTCACTCAGTAGCTAACCGACAGGTATCATTGTATAACAGACATGCATTCACTTCTTCTGATCGTTCCGAGCCCAAAACCACTACAACTAGAGAAGAAAGGGGGAGTCAGACGGATAGAGAATAGGGTGGCACACGATTACTTCGGACAGACATAACAGAGGACTTCAGGACCGGGGGGACTAGTTCTGCTCAATGATAGACACCAGGGCACGCTCGTACTTGCCGCTCGTCTCGCCCTGAACGCGGCTCGTGAGCGTCTTGCGGTACAGGCCCTGGTACTGGTTCTTGATGGCTGCGAAGCGGGGGCGGTTCCAGTGCGCGCGGACGAGGCGGTAGCAGAGCCGTTCATCCTTAGTGCCCATGCCTGCCATGCTCTCCTCGATGAGCTCGGTGTCGCGGTAGACGCCTGCGCCGTCGTGCTCTGCGCCCCGCGCGACCTGGAGGAGGGCGTCCTTCATGTGGCCCGAGAACTCGGAGGCGATCATCTTGGACAGCGTCACGCGGTGGCGCTGCGGGAACGCTTGCGCGATCGCGGCCAGGTGCTGGTCGCTGCGCTGCAGCAGGATGCCGCAGATCCCGATCTCGTCCGTGCCCGCCTTGCCGGGGCCGGCGCGGTAGAGCGCCTCGACGTCCTGCTGCACCTGCTGGTGGTTGACGTTTGGGTTCTCGTCACGCGTCCCTGTCAGGGCCATGTTGAACATGCGCTCCGTCTTCATGCTGAGCTCGCCGCGCACCGTAGCGACGAGGTCCTTGTTGTACGTGCGGCGGAAGCCCTCCTTGAGCAGGAAAATCTCCTCGTTCGTGCGCCCGATGAGCAGCTCCGTAAGCAGATCTTCGTGCGTACCCGCACCCTTGCAGGCGCGGTTCAGAAGCCAGATGTCGCCCTGCAGCGGGCCCATAGACAGAAGCTCAAGCACGTAGCCGAGCCACGAGGACAGCTCCTTGTCCAGCTCCTTCTGCAGGGAGCGGCCGACAGTCTGCTCGTACGTGCGCGACAGCACGTCCATCTGGAAGGCGTCCAGCGGCGTGAGCACGTCAATGATGGTCTTCTCGTCGGTTCCGAAGCCCTGGTGGGTCAGCTGACAGCTCTCCGCAGCTCATCCTTCGGGTCGAAGCCATCGGTAAAATGCTCACCTTGCACGCCTTGCGGATGCGGTCCGCGTCAAACGTCGGGTTGTAGCCAGGAAGGTTCGTCGTGGGCGGCGCGGGAGGAGGGGCGGGGACGGGCACGCCGAGGAAACGGGGACCGCCGGGCGAGCTCTGGAACGCCGGCTGACCGTACGGATTGGGCGGAGGAGCGCCATACTGCTGCTGAGGGGGTGCGCCGTACTGCTGCTGGGGAGGAGCGCCGTAGGGGTTAGGCGGCGGGGCGCCGTAGCCTCCCTGCTGAGGGGGAGCGCCGTACTGTCCGGCAGGGGGAGCACCGTACTGCTGCTGAGGGGGAGGGGCGCCGTACTGACCAGCCGGAGGCTGGCCGTACTGGTTCGGAGGAGGCTGGCCGTACTGCTGCTGGGGAGGGGGCTGTCCGTAACCCTGGTTCTGCGGAGCATACTGACCGGGACCAGCGTACTGGCTCTGCTGCCAGCCCTGGTTCGGCTGTCCGTACTGGTTGGGCGGGAGCGCACCGTAGCCGCCCTGCTGCTGGTTGGGGTCGAAACCGCCGGCAGGGGGAGGAGCACCGTAGGGCTGCTGACCGGGCGGGGGCGCGCCGTAGGGCTGCTGGTAGTTGTTGCCGTACATGGGTGAAGAGGGGCGGCGAAGATTGAACAATGGATGCGATGAAAGAGATGGGAAGATCAGGTCACGCACGGGCTAATGTAAGAAGCGGGCACCGGCTTCAGATTACAGATGGGCTGTGCAAGTAGAGTACGCGCGGTGCTGGCTGGCGCACGGTGGCGGTCTAGGGAATGGCTTGGCTTGCAAGGCTTGGCTTGCTCGCGTTAGCGCAAGCTGACATCGCTCGCGACGCGTGTCATTCGATGTTACAACGCCGCAAGCCGCAGGTAGCTAGGTACGCAAGGAACATGGAACACTGCCTCATCGAGTCACCAACAATGCTATCAGGTACAGCACCGCCCCGCCTTTATCATCCACGATATCATGATCTTCCAACGTCGATCATTTCATTATGCACAGCAGCATCGGTAACCACTGCATCGCTCTCGCCACCGATCGGATGCCGTGCTGACAGCAGCGTTCGGCATCGAGTAACCCCGCAGAACGTTCATTGAACACGGATCCGCGTCGGCTGCGCGTTCCCCCAATTCCCTAGAAGTAACCTAGCCAGTCATGATGTAACGGCCATCCGCTGATGGCCGCTTGGCCGCCGTTTCAGAGCTTACGGCCCACGTGACAAACATCAGCGGAGCTCGACTCGTATCGCTCCGCCAGAATCCGGGACTTCGGGTCTCCCACGGTGAGCCCAGATCTCGCGCGCTCAGACCCCCGCGATGCCGAACGCATAGGCGCGCTGGTCGGTGCGTCAACGCTGACGCACACCTTCAGCAGGCATCTGTCTGCGCCTATCGCACTGACGACGCATGTGGTTCTTCCTTCGGGCCGTGCTCCGACACTGCCCGGTGCGCCGCGGAAGCCAGGGAAGGTTCCAGGTCAACGCCCAATGACAGGGGGCTGATACCGCTGATCATTGAGTGATCCTCCTTCGCCTGGCGTCGAGGAACGTTCGCTAGAGTGGCAAAACGTGACTTTGTTAAACTTCGCCCATTGAGCTCATGTTGCGAAGACAAGTGGTGATAGTCGATCCGATCCGCCGATCGTTTTCGCGCATCGAAACAGCCAACTCTTATATAGACCTCGCGTCGAGGGTGTTGTTGAGCAGCACGCGCCTTGAGGGACCAGGAACACTGACCGAGGTTGTGAGGCAGACAACATGCTTGGGTTAAGGGTTACCCTCTTAGCGATGGTGGTGAGGTACGCAGCGTACGTATCCGCTGCTGTGTGGACTGGGCCTCGGTCTCTCGCCTGAAGCAAGCGCGCAGCGTGCCGATCACGTTAGATGACCGAGGTCATGACCGAATCCGTCGCTAATTTCGGCCCCTCCCTCTTTACTTTTCGCTTTCTCCCCTGTCGTCCTTTCTTCCTCGTGCACAAATGCATTGCATGCATGCAGCTCGCTCGCTCAAAAGCGCACCGATGAGCAAGTGCAGGCATGCAGAAGAGAGACACGGGAGGAGAGGGAGTCGATGTACAATGAAGGAAGTGAGACACGACCCACTGTGGCAGATGGCAGTTCTTGACGTCACTGACAATGGCGCCAGTGGTGAGCAGCAGCACCAGCTTGGGCAGGAAGACCGAGGACCTCTTTGAATCGGTTCCCACACTTGACGACGGGCTTCGTTGCGCTTCGACTCCCTCCCCTTGCTCTCCCTATTCGTCTCGGGCCAGTCTGGGTCCTAGACGTCATGTCGCAGCGTGCATTCATGAGGGCCTCAGGTGCGCGCTCATTCGCCCATCGCTGCTGATCGGGAGTCCCCCCTCCCCTCCTGTGGGCCCACACTCCTGTGTGCTGTGCGTGTGTCTAGCGGCGGAGTGCGGGCGTTCCGACACCCTCCTGCAATCAGCCGAAGAGGAACGGAGGAACGAGACCCAGCGTCATTGGTCCACCTCATGACGAAGCAAAGCGAGCAAAAGAAGGGGGGGACGACCCAAGCAACCCCCCAGAAGTACTTAAGGCTTTGCCGGAGACCGAGGTGTTGCTTTCTCCCCCACACTTGTATCTCTGGACAAAAAGTTACAACAATGTTCGCCCTCCGCCGCTCCGTCGTCCCCGTCTCGCGCTCTGTCCGCGCCTTCTCCGTCTCGCCCATGTCGCTCAAGGGCAGCAAGGTGAGTTGACAACGGGCTCCACCTGGCCGTCATCCGGCTCCTCGCCGGTCCGTCTCTTGATCAGCGACCATCTGAGCTGTGGCGATCGGTTCGTGCCCTGATGACCAGCAAGATGTGATCTGTGATATGAGAATAGGAATGGCTAGGGCTTGGTCACGAAGATGAATCGCCGGATGAGCTTTCTCGACCGCTCGCCGTAAGAGGCTTTCCGGATGATGCCCGTCTGTGGTAGCCCCAAGAGGCCTGAATGAGCCCAAGCTAACGCCCAGGACTCCAAGGAGGCCGCCTTCGCCGCCGCCGCCGATGTCGAGGAGTACGAGAGGTCGTTCGGCGAGGGTGCCTCTGAGAACAAGGCCAACGACACCGCCCAGAACATCGCCAACAAGATCGAGGACGCTGCCAAGAAGGCCGCCGCCGAGGCCGACGCCCAGGTCCAGTCGTACCAGGACGCCGAGCTCGGTCTCCCCCAGAGCAACCCCCTCAAGAAGGACAAGTAAGCGTCGTCTTCTTCCTTCTTTCCGACCATCAAACTAGCAAAGAACCCGGATTCGTCAAGGCAGCATTTCCCCATGAGGCCCGATGAGGCAACGAGGTAGCATCAGCAGACAGATATGAAGCTTGACACCCAACGCGACAAGGTGATGATGTGCAGATGTGTGCATGCGCGAGTACTGACATGAATGCCTACTAATCCATGGTACAAGGAATCAATACTAATGTATACAATGGGCATGTGCCGCCACGATGAGGGTATCGACTGGCGGGCAGGGTATCGGGGTGTATGTCTATTGTGATGGCTCTATCCCGCCTAGACATCGGCGGTGACAGGCGCCTCGGGCTGAGGCGGCGTCGGAGTACGGGGCACGACCCACCCCTCCTTGCGACACGTCATGCAGCGGACCCACTGCCTGCCGTCGCCGTCAGGCAGGCCAGAGTGTCCAGCGCTGCGCTCCGCGACCTCGAGACAGGTGCGGTGCCACCTGTGCGGGCAGGTGAGGAGGACAAACTCGGCGTTCGCGTGCGCTTCCTCCCCTTCGCGGCTGGGCGGGAACAGAGGCTGCTGCGCCGAGTAGATCGACAGCATCTCCTTGTCTGCCGCGGGAAGCACGTCCTCCTCCTCGACCTCGGCAGGCGCTTCGTCGACATCCATGTCCTCTCCGTCACCGTCAGGGACAGGCGGCGCAACAAGGCACTCGACTGCATCGCAGCGCCACCCGAGCGTCTTCTCGCGCTGCTCCGTCCAGGACTCGAGAGACTGCGGAACGAAAGTTGACGCGGGGCGCTCCTCCGCCGGAGGCGGAGCGGGGGGCTCTGGGGCACCCATTTGCAGGAACAGCAGCTCAAGGGGGAAGCCACGGAATGGCCGGGGCTGAGCTTCGCCGTCATTTGCAGGGGCAGGCGTAGCGTTCGCTCCCTCGCGGTTGGGTTCGGCAGCAGGGGGGTCCGTTGGCTCTGCCTGCGGCGTGGGGACTCGAGCAGAGGGCTCGCTGGAGGCACCCTCGCCACTTGTGCTAGACTCAGCAGAGGGTTCAGCTTGCTCATTGGATGTCGATGTAGCTGCCGTTGCGGGCTCGGTGGCCTCATTCGACTGCTCAGGCAGGTTGGGCTGCTCATCAGCCTCGCCAGCTGGGCGGGGCTGCTCATCGGCACCTGAACCAGGCGGCCGTCCGAAGAGGTGCTGGAAGGGGTTCGGGGGCGCAGCGAACGGGCGATGGCCGAACGGGGGAGGGCCAAGATGGATGACGCTGATGTGAGAACGGCGTTCGGGCGTGGGGCGGCCTCCTGGGTTGGGTGAGCCAGTGGCCGATGCACTGCCAGAGGTGTGCGCTGGCGTGTCGCCACCGGGTGCAGGTCCGGCGGCTGCGGGCTGCGCCGGCTGCATGCCAGGGGGACGTTCTGGACCCATTGGGGTGCGCTCGCGCTCCTGTGGCTGATCGCGATCCATGGGCAGCGGCGATCCGGTAGTCAAACCGCCAAACAATCCGCGCGCCAAGTTCTGGGCGGTGATGCGCGCAAGCTCCATGAGACCAGGAGGGGTCGGTGGCTCGTCCTGCCCCCCTTGCGGCGTCTGAGGCTCCTGACCTTCGACGGGCTCGGCAGGAGTCTGCTGGCCAGATCTCAGACCCGAGCGGTCGCGGTCACGGCCCCGAGCATAAGGGTGTCCACCTGCAGGCGTCCCGCGGCCAGATCCGGTCGGAGCAGGGCGCAACGGGTTTCGTCGAGTCTCACGAGGATCGTTGAGCGTTCGCAACGGGTCGAGATCGAGTCGGCACGTGGGGCAGGTGTGGTGACTTGAGAACCACGGTTCAAGACAAGGGCCATGGAACAGGTGGTTGCAGGGCAGAGCCTTAACGGGAATCGGCCCGTCAGTAAGCTCCTCCTCGATGCCCTCCAGGCAAATGCCACAGCGCCATCCACGCTCGTCGTACTCCTTGCCGTTTGAAGCGTCCTCGGCAGCGACGACCTTGTCGACTCGGCGGAGCAGAGCACGCCTGACCGTCGGAAGGGACGCCAGAAGCTCAGCAGCCTTTGCCGGATCCGGTCCCGCCGGCTGCATCATGAACGGCAGGAACGGGAAGGGGAAGGCGAACGGGGCGGGTCCAGCGTCCTCCTGGCCGGGTCGCGGGATGAGACCGTCTGGACCAACGACGAAGATCATGCTGCGACGCTCAGCACGCTCAGGTCCATTCCCATTGCCGTTTGCGTTCCCTTCTGCGTTAGGAGCGTTAGGCGCCCCAGTGGCGTTCTGGTCGGCAGCGCCTCCAGCTTCCCGAGCCGCGGCCTCAGCTTCCGCAGCCGCAAGCACCGCGGCAGCCGCGCTGCCGTCTGTTCCATCTGTGTTGGCACCTGCGGGCGGTTGCGGGCGATCGTTCTGATCTGTTGTAGGAAGATCGTCATCGCCTTCACCGTCGTTGGCGAAAACCTCGAGTGTCCACGTCAATCCGACGCGCTCGCCATTTCCCGGCCCACCCTCACCTGGTCGGGTGGCCATGGGGATGAAGTGCGTCAAGGAGTACAGTGGTCGACGTCCTTGGTGTTGCGGTGGCGACTGGGAGGGGTTAGGCGGGGTGTTGGTGTTCTCGCTAGACTGCTGGGATCCAGCTGTTCCCGAATCAGGTCTAGAGGCTTCCAGCTCATCCTCGACTGTGGGGGCGGGGGGCGCATGTGGCTGAGGTGTCGATGGACCAGCCTCTGCGTGCGCAGCGTCGTGCGCAATTGGAGTGTCGTGGGGAGCATCGGGAGGGTGTGGGGGGTCAGGCGGCGGCCCGCCCTCGTTACTCGGAGAGCTCATGGTGGCGAGGCCGAATGGTGAAGACTTGAGATTTGTCGGGCAATGGTTCAAAGGAGGTCGTTTAAAAGGTAGCAAGTGGCGTCAGAAGGAATGTGTATTGCGCAGCGATGATGGTAGTTAGAATGAGAGAGTGTGTGTGGTTGAGAGAGCGAGCGCCAGGTATAGGGGATATGTACAAACGCAAGATGCAGGGTGTGGAGATCGTCGATGCTGACAAACCAGGCCGACTCGCGACCATTCGATCGGTCCGTCGTCGCCCCCTGTTCTGTCTGTCGGCTCAGGATTCGAGCGGCGGCAAACACCACTCCGTCCACCGTAGACGACAGATAATCGCTTATGTAATCTATCTGAGCCCCCCGCAGTTTAGGGTCCGCATCTGCAGCGCTGGCAATTTCGATGGGTGGGTGACACGAGATCTGGGATATGGCAGGCAGTGCTGTGCGTGCCGCAGATGCATGCACAGAAGGGCGCACGCAGAGCACAGAAGGACAAAACGATGGTTACATCTGAGCCGCTAAAGGCCTGTCCGACCCGGCTCCCGGACGCCATGAAGACGCTCGGCGCGCCTGAATTGCCCGCACCCCAGCGTCGTCGCAGCCAGCATAGACGGCCAGTGGCGAACCAAAGTGGAGGTGCTCTCGCGTGGCACATTTGGTTCCGGCCGTTCCGAAAAGTCAGGCCAGGACGATCCCCAGCTTGCAGCAGAGATCGCGGAGACGGAGCAGCTCACTTCAAGTTGAAGCCGAAACCACTCACAACAACCCAAAAGCGACCATGTCCGTTCGCCCCGGCCTCATCGCCGCCTCCCGCGTCGGTGCCCCCTCCAAGGCTCTCAGGACCCAGTGGATCCGTTGCGCCTCCGACTCTGCCAATTCCCCGGCTCCCCCAAAGCGTACCGCGACTGTTCAGGATGCCGACAAGGAGATCAAGGAGCGTCAGCGCATGATGCGTCGCCTGCCTCCCGGGTTCGACTTCGCCGGCGCATACGCCCCGATTGTGTTTGGTAAGGCCATCAGCAGACCGAGGCTAACAGTGCAGAGCCCATCGTTGATCCGGCATGGAAGCTCGAGAACCTCTTCAAGTACAAGCCGAAGTACTTGTGGGAGCGCATGAAGCGCACTTTGCAGACGGCGCAGATGTGAGTATCTGTGATTCCAGCACAGGCTGACGGGCAGGGCGAGCAAGTTCCTCATCGACCTTGACCTTGTTGACACGTCGAACCGGACGTTCCTCCAGAAGGTCGGAGAGTGGTTTTCGCGCCCGTCGACGCGGTTGCTGATTGCGATGCGACAGCCGCTTGAGGACGTGTACAAGGAGTACAACCAGGCGCAGGCGCGGGGTGACATTACGGCGCTGAAGAACCTGTCGATGGGACCCGCGCTTGACCGCGCGACGACGGTTGCCAAGGCGCTCTCCGGCAAGAAGGGCCAGTGGCGCTTCATTCGCCATGTCACGCCGCCCCGTATCGTGTCGGTGCGCACCGGACCGATGGACATGCACGGCAAGATGACGGCGACCCAGATCACTGTCCAGTACGACACGGAGCAGGAGTTCACTGCTCCCAAGCGTGCCCCCAAGACGAGCCGTGTTCGCGAGTACATCGTCTTTGACCGCCCGCATGAGCCTTCTGGATCTCTCAAGATCAAGGACTTTGTCAAGGAGACCCCCATCGACGACCCCGCCGCCAGCGAGAAGCGCGCGTAAGCCACTAGCAAATTAATATCTACATATTAGCATGTACTCCCCATTGCATTGAGCAGACATGAACGGTTGCACCTGTATTCTTCTTCGATCAGCATAGGGCCCCAGAAGTCTGATTAGCCCGGGGAGCTTAATGGTTGATTAGATGCCTGTGTGATGAGGCTAAATGATATTTTCACGTGGCCTCGAAATTGTGACTCGGCGAGCGACTGTGAACGCTGGGTCGCTATGGTGCTCGATGAGTTCATTGTGCTCATCTCAGCTCATCCGTTCGGCGTTCCTTCTTCGGCTCCTCTTACACCCCTTTCGTCGTCTCTAATTCGCACGACCGCGACAGCGACGACCCTTTAAAAACCGCCGAACGACCTTCACAGCTCGAGCACAGACACAATGTCGACGCCTCCGACACCAGCTTCCGCGCCGGCCGCAGCGGCCGCGGTGACGCAGAAGGCGGACCAGCAGGCGGACAAAGCAGCAAAGGCTGCCGCGAAGAAGGCGCAGGCGAACGCGGCCAAGGAGGCGAAGAAGGCGAAGCGTGCTGCCGCCGTCGCGGCGCGTGGGGGTGGTGCGGACCCGCGCACGGTCGAGACCCCCGCCGCTGCTGGAGGCGCGACGACGTCTGCCCCGGCGCAGAGCGGACGGCCTGCTGCCGGTGCTACCCCCGCCGGTGCGTCGGGACCTTCAAGACACCGCCGCGCGATTGCTGCTGCCGCCGCCGCTGCGTCGAGCACGAACGCCCCCGGCAACCCCGCCTCCAACTTCTTCTCGCACCTCCCGACCCCGAATGACCCGGGCACGCCTGCAGCCTTCCAGAGCGGGAAGCTGCATCCCACGATTGTCCGCCTGGGCGTCCTCATTGCGTCGGGAACGCTCCGCGGAGCCAGCGCGAGGACATACGGTGTTCTGTCCGCGTTCCAAGATGTCGTGCGCGACTATGCCTGTCCCGAAACCGCCGTGTTCTGGAAAGACCTCTCGACGCACATCTCGCCCATGATCGCGTACCTCGAGACGTGCCGTCCGAAGGGAGTCGGCGTCGGCAACGCGATCCGCTGGTTCAAGAGCGAGATCACCAAGCTCGGCGAGAATCCCGACGCCGAGAACCGCGAGAACGAGGCCGCCCAGAAGGAGTACCTCGTCAAGGCTATTGACGGGTACATTTCGGAGCGGATCGATATGGCCGGCCAGGTCATTGCCGACAATGCAAAGGAGAAGGTCCGCGACGAGGACACCATTGTCGTGTTTGCGCGCAGCAGTGTGGTCGAGCGCGCGCTGCTCGAGGCCTGGGCCGAGATGCAGGCCAGGGGGGAGAGCTTCAATGTCGTCGTCGTCGACTCGAGGCCTCTGCATGAGGGTGAGTCTTTCCAGCTGATTGATGCGTGCTTTCAAAGCTGACCATCAGGCCGCGCGCTCCTTGCGTCCCTCACCGCCGCCGGCGTGCCGTGCACGTATACCCTTCTCCCGCTTGCGTCGACGGCGATCGCGCGTGCGGACCTCGTTCTTCTGGGCGCCTCGGCACTGCACTCGGACGGCGCCCTGCACTCGCGTGCCGGAACCGCCGTCGTGGCCATGCTCGCCAAGGAGCACCGCGTGCCCGTCGTCGCGTGCGTTGAGACCTTCAAGCTCTCGGAGCGCGTCACGCTCGACGACCTCGCCGCCAATGAGCTCGGACACCCCGAGGACATCCTGTCTATCCCGAACGCGAAGAAGCTCGAGCTCCACAAGCCCCTCCCCGATCTTCTTACGCCGCTTAACCTCCTGTACGACCTCACGCCGCCTGAGAACATCACGGCCGTGTGCACCGAGCTCGGATTCGTGCCGCCCTCCTCTGTCCCGACGCTGCTGGGCAAGAGTGGCGCGGCGTAGTATGTGTGTAGCAGATGCATTGGTGATACAGTTATAGCTATAGTGTGCGGCAAGTGTCCCTACCTTGTCGTACCTGGGCGTTGCACAGAGCGACTTCGAGAGGCATCGAGATGAGCGACGCGAAGAGAATGCCTGGTTGTCAGTTGTTCTTGCCTTCGTCTAACTCACCTGTCGAATCGGCTGCGCCCGTTGCGCCGATTCTAAACTCCTTCTCCATCTTGCGCTTCTGCTCCTCGGGACCGCTCTCGGGGTCCTCGGCGTCGTCGCCCTCATGGCCGACGTGATAGAACGTGGTGACGTACGCGGACCCACCACAGAGCCCCTCGAGACAGGTCAAGAGGAAGACGGCGGTGATGGCGCGATCGACGCCAGAGGATGGTTCCGGGTGCGGTGGCGTGTACTCTGGCGTAGAGAAGATGAAGCTCCGCGCCTGCAGCGTCAGGAACACGAGGACGAAGAACTGGATGATGGTCGGAAGCGGCAGGTATCTCTTCGGAATCGGAGGAAGACCCATCGACAGCGATGAGCGCGAGAGGAAAACGAACGTTTGGTCTTGCAGGTCAGCAGGGCAACGTTGTGATACCCACAGGTCAGGCTCCAGAACGGGTAGTAGTCGCGCGGCTTCTTGAACAACAGCGACCAGAGCCCAGACGTCGGCATCGGGAAAACAAGAGTCGGCGCGACACCAGAGTTGATCAGGTATTCTTCGACGTAGACGAAGAAAAGTGGCGCCATGTACCGCAGCACGAGCGGCCGGAAGAGCGCCCACTTTTCCGCCGGCGTCAGGTAGACGTCGTTCAGCGGCTTTGTTGAGGTGTCCCTGATGTCCGGCTCGTCCTCATCGAACATGACCTCGGTCGCTTCAGCGTCATCCGCACCGAGGCGGGAGTATTCAACTGATTGGAAGCTCTCCCAAGCTGGGAGAAGGTAGAGATACGTGACGGGGAAGAACAGAGGAAGGACCTGCACTGTCAACTTCATCTCACGATTCGAAGCTTACCGAAGATATTCCGAGCCCTCCTTTGACGCCGAGGCCACGCAGAATCCACCAGATGCCGGCGCCAGCAATTCCAGCAGCGCCAGTTCCGCTCGACCATGCTCCAAGTGCAGTCTTTGACGCTGACTTTGTCGGCAAAGTCGTGGTCAGCTGCAGGAATGTCAACTCGCCAAGACCAGACGAGAATGAGGCCAGCGAGATGCCGAATAGCCGGGGGTTGACGCCAGAGGAGAAGGCGACAATCTGATGTGAGCTTGAGATACAGAAGGAGAGCTCACCAGAATGCCAAACCAGCTGATGGCCGTGCAGGAGAAGATTCGTCGTCGGTACTGAATCTGACCGACGGAGATCATAGGCCAACACACCTTCGCCTGTGGGTCAGTTGGGCGCAGAAAAAGAGGCAGCTCACCAGCAGAGCAGGAAAGATGTTGAAGAAAGCAACCAACCCCTTGGGTACCGTTGAAGGCACCAAGTCAAGAGCCGCGGAGAGGATGATAACATAGAGGACTGATGTCAGCTGAGGTCCAGGTTCTAGCATACCATTGTTGAGGAGACCGAAGATGAGGAAGGAGAAGAACAGTCGTCGACTGGCTTTGGCAGTGTTCTGAAGCGTGTGGGAATCGTACGCTGGTGTAAGCTACCTGCAAGAGGCTACCACTCTACCTATTGAGTAGGCATCCGCCTCGCGAGAAATGGCGGCGGAATCGTCGCGTAAAGGGTCACGCTCGGTGCTGCCGCGACCGGGCTCCATGTCGCGGTTGTCGCGGTTGAGTTCGTGAAGCTCGATGGGAGACACCGTGAAAGACGACGGGTGGCGAGAAGGATATGCGGGTCGAGCGAGGCGTCGTTACTGCCGCCGCATGCAGGAGAGGAAGGAAGAGGTGAGGCAACATTCGCGGTCACGGTGGACCTTGTAGTGGTTCCTGGCGGAGCCGCGGGCTGTCAATATCCACTCCGGGGCACCACCCGCCGACATCATGAGGCACGCGCCACTAGGCCACCGAGTCTGATTACAGGCTGCGAATTACATTTTAAGTAGGGTGGCCGATTAATTTCCCTACGTCCGGGTCTGGGTGATACGCACGGTGACGAAACGCGCGTGGGGCGCACGTGGGGCGCACGCGATTTGCACGTTTTGAATTAACGAATTACAACCTGGATTACACAATTGTAAATCGCGCGCCCCTAATTGCGCCCTCAGGCGCTAGTCCGCTGCGCCCCGCGCAGCGGGCGCCCCGGCGAAAATTCGGCCCGCAACACGTCTCGGGGCGGCCGAGTCCTCAGTTGACCTCGACCGGTGGAGCTCTCATGCGATGGAGGCTGATCGATAAGAGACGGAGGGATCTACAACTGTTCAGTGCGAATCTGCATGCATCGGACAGAGGTTGATGATCAATCTCGCGGAGGTTTCACCAAGATGGGCTCAGTGGCGGCCACATCGCGCGGAGTGGACTAAGCATCAGCTGTGTCTGCAGTGTTTACGTGGTTTAGCCTGGGATATGGCACTTTCCTACATAGAAGGATACGCCAGGGCTCACAAATTCTGACTGGGGGCCTTCTGATGGTGGAGGCGCGACCGGTATACGCAGATGTTCACGTCGAAGGGGCAGTTGCACTTAATTAAATGTCCTCGAAGTGCCCACTGTCAACATCACTCTGCAACCGCGTCAGCCGACTCAGTTCTGGGATCCTGGAGGTACCCGCTGATTGATACAGTATTGTTCAGTCCCCAAGCTGATGTCCACGGTGGTCAAGGAGCCATCGACAACTCCGAGTGACATCCAGGCTGGTCCGGACAGATGCGCCCCGACAAATAATTCGAGAATAATCGAACTCGAATATTTTCGAGATTCCGAGAGGCAAGCCTTCATTTCCCCTCCCATCTCTGCCTCTGTATCTCTTGTGGAAACAGCTTCAGATGCCACCATCAGTCCAAGGCAGCAAGATAACCGGTGGTCGTACCAGCTTCAGAGGCAGCCGCCACAACTAAACAGAGTCACGTGCCCCTACTTCCTCCGTTCAGGGACTTCCCACGCCACCCACGCCATGACAACTCGTCGCACCAAACACGTCGCCCAATGCTCCACGCCTCACAGACGTAGACGCCCAGCATGACCGCCAACCATACCGATAGCATCCACTCTCAGCTTTCTTTGCTAGATATAATCGACAAACTAGACTATGAAAAGCTCGACAAGTCCCTCAAGATTGCGACTGAGGGGAATCTCTCCAAGAAAACAAAGGAATCCTACGAGAGCTACCTCAAGCAAGCCGACGAGTTCATCTCCGCTTATTCTTACAAACGATTCAGTGACCATCCAGAGTACGCTGAGTTCCGGGACGCCTTTGAGCGTCCGACGATCAAAAGTGTCGACATGATATTGTCCTTCATACACTTCAAGTGCCTTTTGATCGCAACGGGCCCACCCTCCGAGAACGAAAAGACAGTCGATCCCCCTCCTGCCAAGAAGCGCAAGGGCAACAGCAAAGGCAAAGGATCGAAGACACACGTTGACACCCCAAAGGAACCTTTGCACACAGGGGATGATGCCGATAATGACGACACCAACGAAGAAAATAAGGAGTTCTGGGCCGATGAGGACTCCAACGATCTATCAATCCCCCCCACTGATCTCGAAGAGAATCTGCCGGAAGGGATGCCCAATCTTCCTTTTTGTAACAACCATCGTTGCTCTCGGATAC